GAGCTTTTCAGTCGGTTTCTTCAAGTGAGACCCATTAGTAGGACTAGAAGTGCGATCACATGCGTCATATCAATTGCCTGCCAGGCTCCTGGTAGCTTCATCAGATATTTCGTTCTCAGTCTGATCATTTTGGATATTTGTTCAGCGTAAATAAGTTTCAAGAGTTTTACCTTTCCTTGTAGACCCTATCCTTACTTCACACATGCCGGCCGCTTTCTACAATGTAATTTGCATATTCGTAAAGTCTTGTGCTTATTCTGTCACCTTGTTTTGCCAATATGACTTTCCCGCGGAAAACTCATGTATTTGCGACGAGGCTGGAATATCCAAGGCAATGTAATTATTTAATTTATTTCGATATTATAATAGTGTACGGCGTCAGCATCCTTCTGCTGGATATGAGTTTTGTTTCTTGATGTGTAGCATAATGTGGTACCCGGTCTTTTTTCGCCACCGAAGTAAAGCGACAGGTATTACTAAAAACAAGTTCACCAAATTTGTCGATGAAACACATCATTCATAAGGTTAGTGTAATCCGTTTTACAGTTGATATCCGGTGTTGCCTATTTTAGGGCTCACGAAGTGGTCGTCAATAGTATGTTTCAATTGAACGTCAAACTGTGAAGAACTGGTGAACTACACTCATTTGCAGATCAAGTCGCTGTCAGCATGACACCCGTCATAACTGTAGCCTAGGAATATCTTAAGCGAGAGATTCAGCTGATCTCATTTCATTACCATAATATTTTAATAATTAGTACATTCCACCGCTAGTGCTCATAATCTCGTTATTTTATTTGCTGCGATTACTCCTTCTAAAGGATCAATATTAACAAGACAGCGAAATGATCTCGTCGCAGGACAACATAGTGTTTGAAAAGTCTCCAAATACCAGTCGAACGCGATCTTACCGGAGAAGTAGAATTTCTGCGGTATGGTCAATCTAACAAGGACAGCAACACTATGTTCCTGCAGATTTGCATAACTGTACCCGAGTTCCTTCGGACCGTATCTTTATGATCAGCACTTCCATCATCTGATACTACCCATTACTCCAAGAAGGTTGGGTTTGCTGAGTGAATACGATTATGGATGTTTTATTGTGGCTCCCTATGGGCGAATTTAGGCTGCAGAATCAAACATTTTCCCGTAACTTGTACATTTCTGCGTTGCACATATTACCAGTTTTTTATCAAACCTAGAAATTGTCTTTCAGAGGTTCAAGCAAAGTGTACGAATAAAGCTTGCCAACTGAACAGTAATAAGCTGAGCAGCGTTAATCGGACACTCCGAATTATCCACAAACGAACGCTTTTTCGGATCGGTCGCTATAAAACGAGTTTTCGTGGACCCATCCTTCGACAGATCACAAAGCAACAGTCCTCAAGAAAATGTTTTCTCTCTTTTTGGGTCACTGTAGCTTAAGGTAATGCTTCAAGGATCAAATTCGTAGCGCTTGTTGACCTCAAAACTCTAGAAGTGTACGCATGAAATGTGTACGGAGCATGTACCCAACGCAGGATTCATAACCGGAATGTACGCAATAAAGTACCCTATGGTATCGTGCAGCACAAAAAGCAAGTAGTCCTGTGAAGTGGATTTTGTTCTGAGGCATCTTTTTTCCAGCCTTACTGACACAGAGCGAAAGTTGTGTTATTTTTAGTTGAAGGATGAGGCTAACACATCATAAAAGCCTTTTGTTTTTTACCAGTATACGATTGTCTTTGGATGGAAGGATCACATGTTACTTGAGCTTTTTAATTGTTAGTATCTGTTTGTTAACACAATCTGAGGAAGCTGCGTTAGGTTTTGAAAAGTCGAGGATGGAGTACAACGAATGTGGCTCAGATTGTGACCGACAACCAGTTACTCGATCTCTATGGGCGTTTAACCAACCCTTATAAGGATGCCTCTAATTATGTTTTGTAAGGCAATACAGTTTGAGCATAATCCATTTTTTTCAATTTATAAGTCACTGTGTAATCAGTGCGCCCGATCCCCTTTTATCACTCGAAGACATCGTATGGCTGTTTGAAAGTGGTGCTACACTGGCTAACTAATAAGACTATAAGCCGCAGTGTACTTTCTGTGCTCAGGGAGTTTCGTAGATGTGAGAACCTAGGGTTTGACGAAAAGTTGTCCGGCAGTTTCCGCAAATGTCAAAGCATCTCTGAAAGTGAAGTTTTTGTGGTCAATAAAGGCTGAGGAAACATCGTCTAGCTCGGTAAGCAGTGAGTTTCAACTAGTGTATCTTTCAGTTTGTATAGTCTATGGGAAGTGCATGAACCTTTCGTCGTAGTTCACGTGACTCATGCAAGCCTTCCCGTAAACATTTGAAGTTCGAAGTTGTGACAAATAACCCTAATCATCATCTTATTGGAAGAACTTGGTGAGGCTTAACTCCCATAAAATACCGGACAATGTGAAACATTTAGTATCTGTCACTGACATAAGGCAAGCACAGAATTAGAGAGAAAATCTTACTAGGTACTTCATGTAGACACTGACAGCATGTGAGACGGTGGAGGCGGTTGCATGATATGTGCTGAAGGGTATTGAGCCACATTCATGTAGGATCACATGGTATTCAGTCGGGGGATGCGAAGATCCAGCAACGCTCAATTTGGCTGTGGAAATATTACTCCAGGCTGCCATATTATGGAGTAGCCTCCGCGACTCTCTCAGTTTGTTCGAGCAGTCGGGGTTCGGGCATATGCTAAACCACACCATCCTAATAAGCTTAATCTACCTCTCCAACTTTCCTAATTTGCTGCCAAGTAACCGCATCATTTTTGGTCGCCCACGCTAGCCAACTGGATCTCGCTCTGCTACTCAGGCATCTGTGATAGTTTGATTATGTCCAAGATTCTAGAATCCGATGGCTAAAGTCGTGAAGCCATAAGAATGACCGATGTTGCGATTACCTTATACTCACAGTCGTCTAAGCTTCACGAGAAATGATTTTTGAAGCGATAAATTGGGCAAGCTTGCAAGCGCTGTTCATGCCACCATTACCGGCGAATTGACTTCGTCTTCCATACGACAAACGGCTTATGAAGCCGCATACAGGTGAGCTGAGAAAGCAAATCAAGTTCTTTAATAAGAGTCGCGAGAGGATGGCAAACACAGGAATAGTGCTGACTTTGAACATGGAAACCGCACGCCGAAACATACGTCTACCCCCCTATATCAACCTGGGGATACTTTATATGTACAACTAATCATAAAGTGATAAAACATCGCTGTCCACGTAATCTGGACATATTAATCATTTACCAGATTTATTGTCACTTGGAGATGCATTCCATGACAGCACATGTTATGAAACTGAACGAAACAGTGTCGAAAAGTTAATCCTGACAAACCCCATTATCTAAGAGAACGAAGAGCACAGGTAATCAGAAAACTAAAAGTAATGCACAAAACTGAAATTTTCGGGAAACGGACGTCTTTGCCAGTAATCTTTTGCGTTTTTCTGAAATCTAAAGTTAATAATACATAAGTTTTTGATTACCTAATCCTGGTAAACACTTTTTGATTTCCGAAGAGTCCCTAGTACGGTCCAAAAAGTACTGCAATGCATATGTTTTACATGTGCCATAATGTGGCTCATTACTAAAGACAGATTCCCCAAAACGAACCATGGATACATGTACGCACCAAGACTTGTGACTCCAATGAGCAACCAGTTGTATATATGGGCCCTTTTTCAGTTCTGGTGAATGTTACAGTGCATTGTGTCGCAAGCTACTAGTGTGTTGAAAAGTAGACCCTCAAAGCAGAAAGAAAACATTAAAACGTAAGTTTTAAACACTTCGGGAAGGTGTATAACTGAATGCTTGATGGCTCCCCATCAATTTATCTAACCAAGTTATCTAATCAACCAAACTACTGTAGCACTTCGGGCTGAGTGTTATTACGTATCAGTTTACCAAATATAGGTACTAGGTGGAACCAGATATTTACTTTATCAACTTGCGTCATAATGCAGCACTAAATAAAGTAATTTTCTTTACAAACCAGCCCTCAGTTGTTAAAATCCTCTTCAAAACAACCCAGGAGATACTACATTGAAGAAAACTATCCTCAACTGGTCATAGCATCATCTGCATGGCGAGCAACTATCTGAAGTACCATCAAACCCGGACCCTGCCTTGATCGACGGTTTTTTATTGAGCGCACAAGGAATTTTGTAGGTTGAGTTTTACGACTGCTCATCTCACATTTGCTCAGCAAGTTGTGATACCAGCGAAGTTATCATTAGTATCAAGTCGAGCCGGATGGTCATGTGTAAGGTTTTACGAAGAGACGTTCGGATCCACTTTCCCCACCATTGTTCAGTTCCATACCAGAAGTTTCTTACGGAAAATACGACATGTCTAGCTGTAGCTAACTGTTTTGATCAGTATGTGTTCACACTGAAGATCATCAAGTTTCAGCCATTGACATACTGGATTAGTCCAATTAATGTGCCGAAACGGTCGATGAATATTCACTGCTCACCGATGCCCAGAAAGTGTGCTTCTTGGGCGTAGACGGACTGTCCAACATTTTTGGAATGTGAAACGCAGGCTCACCGGGAGAATAATGAATCAAGTATGTTGAAATATTTGGATTCGATTTTTCAATACGCGTGGTTAAACTATATGGGCACCATCTAAAGTTCGCGTAAATGTTGTCGGACGCGTACACCATATGGTAGCATGATGTTTTCATTGCGATGAGTGCAGCACCTCAATGTAACCAAAGTGTGTGCGTTAAAGCGCAAGAACATCTTGAAGATTGAAGTCTATCCTTTCACTTAAAAATTTGGTGCGCACAACTGTTTAGTAGAGCATCATCACAAGGTTACATTTGCTTTGCTTTAACATATGAACTGGGTTCTATTTCTGACCATCTCCCAGAAGCCTCTATTGAATGACGCCAATCGCAAATGGGAAATGACTGACCATATTAAGTAGTATATTGAAAATACCAAGGTCGCAAAATATACTTATATCGGCGCTCTTGAAAAAGAACAGGGAAAGCAATAATTCGGGTCAAAATAATAAAACTATTTGGATTCATTATTGCAAAAAACGTTTTGATTGCAGCCAGTGGCTTTAAACTTGTACCTTTTGAAAGAAACCAGTAACTGATGATTACTGTTTAAAAGGGTCATATTCTCACAGATTTTTCTCATGTAGTTTTTTGTGAATTCACAACCTTTGATATATGATCGTGTTATTGTATTCCGGATTACTAGACGGAGACAGAGTATGAGGCACCGAATAATGGTTCTTCTCAATGTCAGTTCTAATCACCTAATGCAAATATTGAAAAAAAACGTGTATTATTGCACCGTAAAACACCGTAAAGGTAATGGTTCTTCTCAATGTCAGTTCTAATCACCTAATGCAAATATTGAAAAAAAACGTGTATTATTGCACCGTAATACTACCGTAAAGGTATATACTCTATATAAACTTCGTGTATATATACCATCCGAAACAAGAACCTGACTTCCAAGAGCAAAATTTGAGCAGGAGCGTTTTATATTTAACAGACAAGCCTACATAACAGACCTCATGTTCTAGTGGTTGGTGAAGTGTAGTTTTATTCTCCAAAAAAATACAAAACGCTGAAGTTATAATACGGAGCTGGTGACGCAAATTCATTGCCTTTACCGCACTTCGTGAAGTGATAAACTGGTCTTCGATTATCGTCACTGCCATCTTCATGAGGAGCCGTCTCCTCAAGCGGCATATGTCGTTCTTGAATTCTATTTAGATATGTTCTTGTCTAAATGTTTATTTCAGTCCTTTGAATATCTGGTTAGGAAGCTGGAGTGGAACGGTTGTCTCGGAGAACTCTGGCCAGGTAGTTAAGAGATTAAACCAGAATGATTTCAGATGGTACTTCGGCGTTAGTCATGCGTCAGTCCCATTACCGTTTACCTGTTTTCGGACTCCTAATAGGCTGCAAGTGATTTTGAAACTCGATCACCTACATGGCAAACTGCCAATGTGCTTGAACGAAGCGTAATACTACACTAATATCTCAATCTCAAAGAATGTGAATTAACTTTCTGTAAGCGATCCGAAATTAGATGAAAGTGTGTAACCGCTGCTGATATAAAATATGTCAACTCCAGCCCCTGACAATATGCATGTGAACTAATTGTGCAAGTACTATTACCTCTAATGAACGGGGCCTCAGGTATCATCAAATTACTCCGTCAACGAAAACCATATTTGAAAACTTCAACGTAATAACTGAAGAAGCTCAGCTAACGGGTGACACTATTGGTTAGGAAAACTACCCAGCACAATCGCGGCACTTTTTTACCGATGTTAGAATGGTGATTCTATTGAAATTCTCATGATTATATCATTTCCGGCTTTCATACATCTCTCATGTACCCTATTCATGCGTGCCCTTTACCACCGCTTTTCCAAACACGCAGTCCAAAAGTTAAGCGATCTTGTATTTGTTCCGTTTTTAGGAACTGTCAACTACATTCTGAGACATTACCGTGGTCTGCTAAGTTAAAAACGGAACTCCTTTCCTCTGAATTCTAGAGAGAAATGCATTATTTTATAAGCGATACACTAGCATTAGTTTATCAACTCCCACCTCCAATGCACACCTTTGTACCCCACCTTTCTAAATCATCGGTAGACAAAATTGTGACAAGTACAACCACTGTATGACAAGCACACGGTTCTCTCAGCTGATAATGATGACGATGATGATGATGCAAGCTGACCTTTCGGTGAAGGTCAAGCGCTAGATATGTGAACTTTTCACGATAAACGAGTGAGTTTGAATCAATCAGCGTCCTCCGTTCTAGGTGAGAATTGGTGGAGTAGAAGCAAAATAGTGACAGTCTTTTATTATATAACAAATTGTAAATGTTTGATGTCATCCAAAAGCTAATCGATTTTCGCGTCCAAGTCCGCCAAGTTGATAGCCTTTTTAGCTTTCATCAACTCACGCGCCTGTATTTCCAGTCTGGCAATATTGTGGGAGCGGCGCCACAAACATAGTGCACACAATACACTTGAAACGAGACCCACGATAAAGAGAACTGTTAATTGCCATTGATTTTGAATGCACCATAGTTTAACCTGTGGATAGAAGAGTGGAAAATCAGTGTAGGCTGTATGTACACCGCGTATAGCCTTTTAAAAAAGGATGTGTCTTGAGAACCAATAAAATCGCGATTTGATTACACTGAATTTTGACAGTCACGATTGTCCGTCGATGATGTCTTACAAGGAGTTACTTTGTGTTGGATTCCACTTCACTGGCAGCCGTTTGTGCCGTTTGAGCATTTTCTGGCAAGAAACACTGAAGCATCTGGGTAAGGACTTGCCACCAATCGCCTTATAGCCCTAAGGATGAGTATGCAGTACGGGATGAGCACTTCCCTGATAAGCATGAAAACAATTGCACATTAAGTTTTTATCAAACTCAACCCCAGCGGGATAGCCTGGAATTCATTTATCACAATTATGAACCCTACTGGATAACCGATCTAGCTCATAAACAAGCACCACTAACCATGTAAACGGACCATAAGTTTACTGCAAGTTTGACACACTGTTTTGGGTGGTAAGACACGATACATGGTGTTCAGATTAAGTGATTATTTTTACACAATATTGGGGCCACATCTGTTGAAAACTAGAACAAATAAAATTCCCCATGGATGTTCGCGTTTAGGTAAAAGATGTGAAAATTTATTCTGCCCGTTTTGGGGTACTTCCTTTTTCATAGTTCTGTGTAAAATTCTGCCTTACATGAGCATTCCTGGTTTCTCTTTGATCACTTACAGGGTTTGTGAAATTGCCTCATTGTTGTGTCAAACGATTGCGGCCGGGCCATAGGGACAGGTCATGAAGTTCAGTAAACCACCTTGAGGATGATCGATTCATTTAATTACGCCCGAATACACCAGAATTGCGGTGACTAGCCGGCCAACGACCAGCTCATCTTAGTTCAGTCCGCATGGCTTGCGCGATCTGACGACTTCATTAACTACCCCTCGACCCATTTTGATGAGACATCAACAACGGGATTGTAAGATAGAGCATGAGGAATAGGTATCAGGACAAACTACTCCGAACGTAACCGGACTAGACAACTGCCAAAGGAATGACCGTATTGGTTGAGCAAGACTTACTTGGATGTTCTTTGCTTGCTCTTGACAGATGGGTTAATTTTAGTATCACTTTTTGGTCTGCCTAGAAGTTTCCTCGTGAAATTTATAAACAACCCGTTTTCAGCTGCAGATGAAACGCCTGTACGCGTCAGCGTTCGACAGATCGGCTGATTTGCACGTTCATTAGCTTTCTGGTTTGGCTACGTGCATCAGTGTATCAGGCGGCTATCCGGGCTCAGGTTCACGGTATTGAGAAGGCATTAAGGAACCAGTGGTTCACGACAATGTTTCGTCCGAATGTATTCGGACATGGACAACTTATTTTATAATCCCTAGTGGCTGAGCAAGATATTTGAAAGTGTCATATCTGGTGAACTATCAGTGACAGATGAGAGAGTCTAAAATACACCAAATTTTTCGGGGGTCACCTCGGAGGTGGATGAGTATGCTGGTTCCGATCGAAGGAACCAGCTGAATATCCCAAAAAAGCATTCATCGAATTTCTACTGGGTGGCGGAAGCGTACTCACACAGTACGCACTTCACTAAGCGCAAGCGAACTGCTCCTCGATAACGCTTTATGCTCTGTGTTGTAATTCACTAGTGATGATACTTTGAAACTTCAAGTAGATGAACTAATGATGCTCATCCGAACAATCTAAGCACGCGGACTTAAAGGAAGACTTATTAGAAAAAAAAGTTTTGATAGCAAGTTTAAAGGACTGAAGGCACTACAAAATTGTGTTATTGTCGTTTCTTTTCTAAATATCTCAGATGGTGCCTTCGAAAATACCGCACGTTAACTTCTGAGTGACTGCGTTTGAAAAAGTGTTCAGATAATATGCTCAACCTCTTTCTGCATCTATACGATCAATTCAGCTTTTCCGGTTATCTTGGTGTTTTCAATTTTGAGGGCTAATACCTTAAAACTAGCAAGAAAAGTGTTCGATGTACATTTGTTTAGGGCTGAAGAAGTTACAACGAAGATGAGAATAGTGGTAATAATGACCAAACAGTAATTAAATGAATAATTGAGACAGCAGATGGTACTCACGAGTTCAAAAATTGTTGGTGGGGGTGCCACTCGTAGGATGAATGACTCCGTGTAGAACGTACGATTTAGCGTCCTCCCGACGTTATTGTAAATTGTGCAGGTGTAGTTTCCATTCATGGTGGAGGTTGCCCGGTACACACGACGATATTCTGTGTCCCATAGTGTAAACCCCGTTCCTGCCATAATCGCTCGAGCAGTAGCATTGGTGGTTTGATTCAACATTTTGATTTCCTCTTCCGTCATCTGTTTCATTAGCTCTGTGACCCACCAGCGAGTGTTGTGCATCGAATCCTCTAGTCTTTTTTCCAAGCGGACATCCCAGTACACGGTCCAGGTACCGGTCTGGGGTTTTTGAATGATGGGCCACAGACCCAGTGCGTTGCAGGTGAGGTCGAATGTGCTACCATGCAAAATATCCTGGATGTTTACGAGCAAAAGTTTACTCACGTTACTGAGAAATGTGTAATATTTCTATTTACTCACTTAATACAAAATAAGTTTAATTTTGTTGGTGACCGGTTGTGTATACATCAAAATCCCTTTAACTTCCATGCACTGGTAAGAGTGAAAGTACCTTACAAGGTATCTTACCAGCCTGTTCTTTTTTGTGCCAGAGCACATCCGTGTAGGTGTTCAGTTTTTAAGAGCCTCCTAAAAAATATGCGTAAAAATGGGAAGGTCCAGTTCTACCGTGGTGATGTCCATGGAGATATCCAGTGGGCATTTACAGAAAGTTCCTATAATATTTGTGGAATCTATGAAATTTAGGATTAGTGTAGGCTGAAAATGCTTACCACTATGTTTTAACCTAACAGCTTGGTCTATCACATGTTTTCGCAGGCTAGTCCTGTTTGAACAATCCACACAATCTGGGCTTTGAACACAAACGTTTAATACGTCGGATTAGGTTTGTTTCGATATGAATGCGCCCCAGTGGAAACTTGCATACTATAACGTTCGGTGAACGTTTGTTGATTCCTTCACACCTACCGACACTTCATGACTCTCATTCCACATTTCAGACACTACTTGGAGTATAAACTTCACCTGTATTTTCCTTGATATTTGCGTCGGATCTGCTCAAAGACCTGTGGTACAATCTTGAATGTACGTTCGTATTGAATCATTGCTATGTATTAGCCATTGACACTTCTATTCAATCAATAACCGTTGTTTATTTGTTGTTATTACAGAACCATACCGAATACAACAACAGTCTTCTCGACTTAACAAAAGACTTCGGGTGCGTATACTCAGGTAGTATCTCAGCCGCATATCTTGCATCAATCACCTAGGTTCAAAGTGAAACTTAAACTTACCTTTTCCAAACTTTACGCTTACGTACGTTTGCTTTTATTTCACACTACGATTATGTGAAACGATATGATTTCCTAGATCTCTCTTGACTGCTCCTGCCAATGAGGTGTATCAACTAGAGCCGTTTGGAATGAGAAATGTCCCAAATATTTCGGGGAAAAACGTTTAGAAATCACGAAAATAGCGGCTCAAATGGACCAGCGGATTAATTATACTTTGAGGACGAGAGAGAGCATGATGTAGGAGTTGATTGCGGGCAACCATTGGTTGTTAAATCTACTGGTGGATGTGATAAGTGGATAAGTCAACAAGTAGACTTCCGAAGATCACAAGACTGCTCATGTACCTCAGAATCACGTAGAATGGTATATATATAACTCTTTTTTGAACATAGAATTATATCCAGTGTGTCAGTTTGGACGAGTGTGTAAACATGAAGGTCTATTTAGCCAAATGAGTGATTTCAGTGTCACTCGGCTGCAAATTGAGCATTGAGAGCGGTTTTCGTCGATTCACAGACGTCAGTACAAAACATTTTGTCCCTTAGACCGTAGGCATTCTACGTAGACCCCAAATTACGTGATCGCGGTTTTAAGATTAGCAAAACTGAAATTGTTGTTATGCTTGAGAGCTTGGGCGGAGATTTATCCGAAGCGGTCTCACCTTCAGAAATAAGCACAAATTCAGTTCAGTCCAATTCAATTCAATTCAGTGTATTAGCTATAAACCATGTGCCATAGGCACAATGGTTCCAGCTTCTACAGTTTCGATCACCTAAAAGCGGGAAAGTAGAACATACAACAAAACCTTAAAGGTGAAGGCACGTTGTGTTTGTTCAGAAATTGGTTTGCTACGCACTGAAGACGATAGGTTTGATGCACGATCGCCACTGACCGAGCGATTGGGCCATTTCCGTCAATGCCATTAAACACTGGTGATTTGAGTCCCGGGATTCTCATCCGGGGACGCGGAAGTTGCCAACCCGACTAAGTTTACTAGTTAGTGTTTTCGTACTTCGTTGCTAGGTCATACACTGTTCACTTTTCGAACGCTTCCACCAGCACAAGGCTGAATGGAAAGAGCTCTGTGAGGCAAACGGACCTCTGGCATGCTGAGTACATGTCCCAACCAACACAACCTATGAAGCATGAGTAATTCGTCTATCGTGGTAGAGTTCCTTCTTCCCAAGATCATCTAATGACGCTCAGCACTACTAATCCAATATTCTCACCAGACATGACCAATGTTTCGGGGACACCGATGATCATATGTCCTCTGCGCGTAGGGGCCATAAAGCATAAAAACTGATTTCAGCACTGGACAGCTCATTCTATCGACGCTTCAAATATAAATCATTCTGAGATAGCACTTGAGAGGGGAACATCTTAGTTATCCAAAAAGTTTGCAACCGACAAACCATGTATTACTATCTGAGGCAGGTATGAGGGCCGGAATCGCCTAAGCTGATGAACCTGAATTTATTAGCAAGATGAACAGTATCTTGTTGGTAGAGTGAAAATATTATGGAATTTTTATGCAGATTTCGTCCTGTAAACGCAGCTAAACTATGCCTAAAAGCTAAGGAGCACTCCGCAGCTGTTCCATCCTTATTGGGAATCATTAGCAGTGCGCATTTCACGAAACTCTGGAGAGTCTCGAACCCCCGACCTACTACCAGTATTGTGAATAATTAACCGTTCGATCGTGAGAGGCTGATCAGCAGTGTGATTAACTCGCACTCAGACAGAATATAGCGTCGCTCATCCTTCAATCAAGGGATCTACATCACGCGGTCACATGTGCCGGCTGGCTCCTCGGGCAACAACTTCTTAGATAGAAGTTTCACTCATCGGGTCGGCAGAATCAGAGGACTCTTCGAGACTTCGCGACTCTCAGGAGTTTCGTGATATGCGCGATGCCGATGATTCACAATAAGAATAAAACAAATGTTCAGTGCTATTCGGCCTTTCAGCATAGACTGGCTTCAATTACGGAACAAAATCCCCACAAGAACGTTATCTTATCTGCCGAATCAAATGTTGAGGAAACGGAAAATTGGGCGGTGAGGCACACGATGGATGATGGATGGACACTATTCAACTTACGACATGAAACAAGCAGACAGCATTGACACAGTCCAGTCTCCCCGTTGGCGGTTAAAGGAAGTTCAAATTCAATGCGGCGCATTCAAATTTGGTCGAATTTGATGGTGACTCGGAAAAATCGCTCGTCTCTGGAGCCATATATATGTGGTGTGAGAAGCCACCGACAGTTCGGCTAAGATTACTATCGGCTGTCCTGTTCAAGTGAGTAACCCATAGTATTAGTTTGTTCGTATAATTTTGTTCCTCTGACAAGTTTTAGAAGATAAACATGTCCGCCCGTCCCTTTTACGAATATTCAGATGTAAATGTGAACGACATCCATCTTCCAAACGCACGTTCGTAGTGCAGGTCATCCAACAGGTCATGTTATTCTGTGACTTCCCTATAACTTGGTTCAACAGCCAAGACAAAGGGTTGTTGCAAACATCATCTTGTGGAGAGTTCGAAATTTTACGGTGAACCCGATAGTAAGTGGACAGCGTAAATATTTATCCTCGCAGTGTTCCAAGAAACATAACGAGTAGCATTCTCAAAAACTGGCTCATACTAATCGTCGTATGCTGAAGCATACTTCGCTCGAAGGGACCAGTACTGTTAATTTAACAGCAGAACAAAACGACGACTTTGAAAGATAGAGAAACTACATTATTACTGATGAAACACCCAGAAATCCTATTCGGAATTGTTTGGGGAACTTTTACTGATTATTTGGAGTTGATATAAGCAAATCTTCTAGTAAGAGCTTATCGGCTTCTCAAATGGTACGTCACAGAAGAGATATCCTCGAACTTATGCAAACAACTCACTTACCCATACACTGTCCTTGATGTAGACAACAAAGAAGCAAACAGTCTCGTAGTACCCTGGCTCATATTCGTACCCGTATCGATAAACACCGGTTGTGTATGGTTGCAGTGAACGTATCGTCAATCGGTCTCCCTCAATCAGTATTGTTTTTGTGTTTTCAAGAATTTCACCTGGAAAATCATGTGGTGTGTGCGGTGATAGTGGAACGGACTTTGTCCAGTACGCACGCGACTTTGGAAAGCGTTCTGGACGGTCGAACACATTTAAGCGTGATTCTTTTGTTGGCGGACAGTAAAGTTGCACGGGATCATCACGTTTGGCTGGCAATCCAGCAGACCAAACCCAGGCATCTTCAGCTCTCTGGGCGAGCAAATCCTTGAGCAACAATCTTTCTTCCTCTTCCTTTAGGAATTTCAAATATGGACAAGGATGTCGATTGCAGGGTTCCCACCTACCTTGGCCAGTTCTTATTGCATGAATAGCAAATTCAGTTGGCGCGGGTACACCCGAACCGGGTTTTTTAGTCGCTTCATATTTTGCAAATGCTTCTGCTTCCGGGGGCACCTCACATGCTTCGCCCCCGTAGCTGGGCTTTGGACATGCACACAGTCTCGTCCGTAGTCCCATCCCGATGGGTCCGCATGGATGACTGCAGTGGGGAATGTTCGGTGACCATGGACACCACTGACCTCGTTTGGGACAAGGGACGGGACCTTCACAGGGGACCTGAAACAAACATAGAACAGAGTGAATGAAGACCACTGAAATAGACGCATATTTTTGACAGAATGAGGATAGCTATAGACTTCCAATCAGCTTTTACTCATGTGAGTCAAGTCAGTATAAGCAAAGAGGCGAAAGAGTTTTGGACATTCTCATATACAGCAACATATAGATTAATAAAATACTGTTATGATACTGAAAACCATTACGAAATAAAATAGTTAAACCAAAACTACTGCACTGTGGTTAACTGTCATGCGTTATATTTCCGTGAAGCAGTTGAAGCATGTTCAAAAGATGCCAGTGTACGCCAGTTTGCAATCCAGACGTGAGAGTTTGTGCGTATTTTGCTATGGTCCTTTCTAATGGCGTATGTGTTGGAGATGGCCCCTCACCTGTTCGAAGGCCAATAAAAATGGAAACTAAAATTATCTGTGTCCAGTACCGATTGCTACGTGGAGATACAATGGTCAATGAGGCGTTCATACGAAGCAAGTAACGGTCATGTTTCTGTTCAGATGTTTTGTTGTTTCTGACGGTTTATCACCCAGCTCTAAAGTAGTGCTTGCCTAACCCAGTATGCGTTCGTGTCGTTTATTTAGCTAGACAAACATCTAACACTCTCAACATCAAAACACAAATATGACCTACATTTGCTACCGTTCTGCGGTTTGACGTTAAAATGCTCCTTAGTGCTTCCTGAGGAGGGTAGATAATGGTGTCACAGGAGGTACAATTCGCACTCAACAGTTAAAATTAACCAAACACAGGCGCCAAAGTTTGAGCGGTAAATGTTCTTTTAGTATGTTCCGTCGATAGTGGGCAACTGTTGTAATAAACAGGCCTATAGTTCGCACTCAGACTGGTATACTTTTGTAATTAGGAGATTGATAAGAAAAAAACGATAAAAATAACGTTACCAAAGTTCGTTAAGGTCACCCAAAACTCGAGAAATACGACTGAAAGTGCCAGTCAAAACATATGGAGGAGAGGAAAGGAAACACCAAAGGTTCACAATTGCTTGATGTTTAAAACAATACCCATCTCTGCTACTCAGTGTTTCTTTATGTAATATTTTTCTACGGACCTTCCGGAAGTTCCTGTTTGATCTTCTGGGACTTGTCATACCACTGTTCAGTTACACATCAAACCTGAGCAGCAACTAGCGTCAAAACCAAGCAGAACTTCATTGTGGATGCTTTCATTTGGTGTCATAGTATGACTACCTGATAGGTCGCAGAGTTTACAAAGGTGAGCAGCAAAATGTGAAAGCAACAAACCAATCAGAATAACTGGTGTTCCAAGCTCCGTTAACTATTTAGAGACTGCATAATCTAAAAAAAACATGATCATGTTTACTCACCTTACTGTTGCTTGCTGTCTAAAGAAAATCTTTGCAGCACTAAATATATTACCTGTATATTCAATGAGCCCACTGAGAGAGACGTGGCGGAGAGCGAATTCCCAAGATAGAAGTTCAAATTTTACTTCATTTATTACCTCAACCGTCAGATTGTTGTGGTGGACGTCCAATAACCATGTATTTGGACACAATTTAATGGATAATGATGCGCAGCCATCGCTCAAACTGTTCATTTATGTTGAGGAGTTACTTTTTCAGGGAAACTAAATATTTTCAATGAGGAAGTGGTTTCTACTCTAAGGGAAGTAGACATAATGGACTAAATGTGGAACCTTTTGCACCTGATTGTTGCTGACGAAATTTCCGCTATCTATGGTTAGATTCAACGTGCTTTATGTGAAATCCTGTGGTGTGGCCAAGATATACGCATATGTACACACAACTGGGACATACGGCAGCATTGATTTAATAAATCCTCAGCGTGGTTACAGACACAATACAAAAGTGCATACTGGAAAAGTCAGTTGGAAGTACGTTACCGTGGGCCACCGAATAGTTCTTCTCAGGCGTAATATTATGAATTTGGTACACGATTGTATAAGATATTCCAAAATGGTTAAAGCTGGAAAGTCGATGCCTGAAATGGTTGGATTGAACCGCAGTGTACTGATAGTGCTCGTGAAATTGGCTGTTTTGAAAAGTAGAAGGGTAGTTTTACTTCACACTCAAGTAAAGTTAGCGTAAATCACCCATTTTTGAGGCCGGAAAACTACTGCCGTGTGGTGTATGTTTACCTGGGCTAGCAGCACACTGATAACTGCTAAGGGCTGGTTGGTTGGTTATGGAGAGTAACATAAGTGAACAACATCTGAGTCTACTGAATATGCGTGATTTTTCTCCAAAGAGTAATCAAATCGGTATCTGGTTTATGCTCTTTTTGGACAAATAACCTTCAAACCGAAGGGAACCGGAAAAGGTCCTTGGTAAGGGGTACCTTCTGTTTGACGCACTATTTACTTTTCTTATTCCCGCAATATATCCACGACAAGAAGGGATGATGAGGCTTTCTTATAATAAGGCAACGAAGCTGAACGACAATGCGGTTGCTCCTTCTCGAATTCAATAATTTCGTTTGTGCATTTTTTGACCGTGAGAGATGTGGAAAATGCTTACACGTCCGTTTGATGAGTAGATGAAACAGGATGACTAATATGCGATTTGGCACTCATATATGCAGGGATTATACCAGACGTTTGTGAGTACTTGGTAGTTATGCTCAATGGGCGCAGAAATGAGCGAACCACTTCTATCATTTCTGCTCTTGTGAATGCTCTTGCTCTATGAATGCGTTAGTGCCGGTAATACTGGAAATCGAAATGAAATTAACACGCATACCATGGATCGAGAAATCTGCTTTAGAAACATTTATGATTATGCCTGGGTTTTAACATCCTTCTTGAGCATGTGCACACTTTTGGATAATTCTAAAGTGAGTAGAATATACCTAGAGTAAAAATAATAGTAAACCAGATAACTTTGGGCAGAATAATGAGTTATGTGTGTGACCCTTCAGTTAGCAAGTTACCTGCTGTGTATCGATCCCATGACAGGGTAAGCCGTTCCCCCGTGGTTCAGGACGATTACATAACCGCATGCGATAACGAAACCCGGTCCCACAGGTAACAGAACATTGCGTGAATTCTGTCCACTCTCCCCAGCCTCCATGAATATTTGGACACAGACGCCTTATTGGACAATCGCGGGTTTCGACACCCTCGGCCGCTCGAATGTTTGATGCACATGAGGCCTGCAACTCACGTCTAACTTCCGGTTGAATATGTTCCGTTGTCCAGGCTCCAATGCACGGACGAAATCGAGTACTTTCCATAAATCCACAAACAGCAGTACATTTCGTCCACGAGGACCAAGACGCCCACCAGGGTACACATAAAGCAAGGGCCAGCATCTTACTGCATGACTTTGTTTCCTGGTGTGATGAAATGTAATGTAAAATAGGATATTAAATAAACAATTGCAGGGCTTACCAGATAGACGGAACGCTAAAAGAGGAACGCGAAAAGACGTAAAATCATGTCACTACTTTATACGAATCATTCATAACGTTTAGATGAGTTTTTCTGACAATGATAGGCTGGCGTACGTCTGGGAGCACCATATATCCGAGATCTGGAGTACACCATTAATAATAAATTATAACAGAACCAACAGTCTGACACGGTTTTGTGAAGGCTATTCTATCTCAAGAACGGCTCATATCCTTGGTTTATGATCAGGGCATGTCGGCTGCGCTTGTAATAGGTTATCTTGCAAGTGACAAAGGAAATTGGAATTGGATTCCTGCCAAGTGAGGTCACACGAAACTGTCCGACTGGGTGCACTTTCTGATGTAAATAGTTTAGATTTTGTGTAAAGGAAACTGGTTTTTGCAAAAACCTTGGAAAATAACTCAGGAATGCTCATTATAAAAGGCGGTTCCTTAGTTCCTTCGTGTCGTAATTTAAAAGTTCATTTTGAAAATTGTTACGAATAATCCCTCCACATATTTTTGGAGATCTCAACTTGGATTGAAGCTAACTAACTTCAGATCGTTGGCTAAAGGACAATGAAAAGCTGTCTGATTGCCACCTGCATTTCAACAGAATCACAGTCCGGCCTCAGCACGTGGAGTTACATCACGCAACACTCGCATAAGGTTCAAATACAAAATGTGACTGTTACGCTTTGAAACATCCCTCAGGGATATGTTACTCTGGCATTCTACGACCAGTTGTGGACTAAATGCGCAAGTTACAAGGGATAAAGAATTTTCGGTTTGGTTGGAGAGGCATGCACGAATCCACCTACTTCTACACCGGGGCAACCAGTTTGCAGTGAACAGGGCTTTATTTTTCCGTTTTTGCGATGATATCTGGTCATCCTGCAGATAAGCTGATTACTTAATTGGCAATCGTTCGGATTAGTTGGAGTTGGGAGTGAAATCAGGAAATCAGCAGCTCTTCAAATAGTAGACGCTATGGATTCCGGTGCAGCTTTCCGCTGGTCTAGCCGAACTAAATGTAGTTCAAATTCAGGGACAACTGAAATTCCGTTAAATGATGGTCATCGTGTACGATCAAAACTATCTCTTCCCGAATGGTCATCATAGAGAAGGTTAGTGGGAAAGATTGCGGATCGGCCATTTAGACGAAGCCTTTGTGAGCGGTAAGTTTTGTTATACCTAAATGCTGCAAGATGAACTGACACTTCAAGGAAGACAACCCTCATGTCACTCAAAACCAATTGGATCTCACAAGTTCTGGGCTATTTTGATGCAAGTGCATGCATGAACTTGACAGATGCACTTACATGATTATTCAAACCACTCAGATCCCAATGGTCATGCACGCTTGCAGTCCGATGCTTTGTCATATTTACCAGATTGTGGACAACTGGATTATACTAGTTATGACAATGCTAGCCAGAAAACATCAACGGACATTATCATGTCTTCACGCAGAGTCCATCTCATCAAGTTCCAAAATTTGAGTTCAAATTTCATCCAAACAGTCACCTTTAAACTCTCACATCAGAAGAAAACCGGCCTTAATGAAATGCCAGTGAAAAGCTAGTCAACTTAAATACGGGCACATGCATCAGAAACCAAGGTAGTTCCGAGGCATTCAACTTTGACAGTTATTGCATTCTCAAAGGCCACCTTACATATGGTCGAATCGCTGAGAGAAAACTGACGCACAGGGCTGATTCAAGCCTGATGTGATCTGATGCGTCTCGTGCAATGAATGCGATCAAAACCAGCTTGAAGATAGAGCAAAAAAGATAAACTCCGCTTCCAGAAATTAGCTCTCCAACGGATAAAATACGCGTAAAAGAATACCAAGTACAGAGAGTCACCAAGTAAACATGAAGAAAAGCAAGAGTAACTGATTCACAAGTCCTGAAGTTACAACGGAGAGGTTGGTGTCGGAACTCAATGTGATCAGATGACCTTGTAGACCCGTTTGTTGACCATATGGCATTTCAAATTTCAGGGACAATCGGGGACATCCTAATTGCAAAGAAGGCTTGCTATCACGACATATTTTACTATTCTTTCATAAACTCCGGGAACTACGGTCGAACACAAAGTACACGTTGTCAAAATCTTCTCGCATACTAATGTAAGATAGTTAAAGACACACAGTGAAAGCAGAGTTTAAGGTTTCTGCTTAACGTAGAATTTACGGACAATTAGGCGAGATATTACGAACGGCTCCTGGCACTAAACTGGTGAAGCCTGCAAAGGATAAAGTACATATAGCGGCTTAGTTATTTTTGAGGTGTGCATTCAATTTTTCTCTTATGCCAGTGTAAGGCTATTTAACAGTGCGCAAAAGCAAACATGATGATGAAAAATTATACGGACTCGGTTCCTCTTATGTGTATGTTGAGAACAACAGTGAAAGTCTAAAGAAAACAGTGCACTTGGCAAATTAACATGAAAGAATCAATGCAGACGTTGCTTCAGCCACTCAAACTGTAAATAATCATAGACAGCTGGTTTCTGGTAGGGTTTAGAAGATGCGATCCAAATTCACTATGGAGAAGTAGGTGTTAATTCTAACGGTCGTTTGTAGCAAGAATAGAAATCCAGGATGGTATCTAGAGCAGCACGTGAATTTTATGCTTTTAGGATGAGTGAATCATATCAAAACCTATTTATCCCTGCACTGCTTTTCGAGTTGATCCGGCTGGTTAAACGGAATGACTATTTGAGAAAACTTTCTGTGTAACCCGGGTATGATTGATATTTATTAGCGGCTCAGTCAACAGGCAGCTCCTGGTTGACCAGCCTTCCTTCCGATATGCATACGACAACGCCTCCTTCTGTTTCCTTACAGGAATAGGGGCAACCTTGGCCTCCCTGTAATGGTCTAGATTTACTGAAAACTGTGGCAGCCAACTGTTGTCAGTGGCGATAATACCATTAGTTTCTATCCAGTTTGCATGATTGTGTCGGAGATTAGGACATTTGGGACGTTGACGATAGGATAAACCTAGGTTCATCTCTCGGCCCAATTAGTTTTCTTTCGGCAACTACATTCATCTCCACACAAATCTAGTTTTGAAGTGAGACTCACCTGTACCCAGTCTGAGTCGTTCTGTTATGCTCTTCTTCTTTTTCTCTATAAGGCTTTATTCAAATGAAGTGATATGGTTGCAAGGTCGCGAAATGCCAGGATTCTCTATTGGTGTTGCCATCAATGATAGGGATTTCATCACCGCCATAACAGTGCGCAGGTTTTCTTACCACCAGTATGCTTAGGAAAATGGGTTGCTTATTCGAAACAGAGCAGAAAGAAATCCTGCCAACTTTGACTTCATCATGCAACATGCTATGTAGTTTCGAACTGCCGCAATTTTGAACAGGTCCACACGCCATCTTACACTATATTTAAACTATTCAGTAATGAATGCACAGTGTAGTATTGTACAAATTTGAGCAGAGCGTGTATCCAGAAAGGTTACATAATCGGATCATCCTCGATAAAGCACACGTCTCGCTTTAAATATCATACATAATCTGGGAATTCAACGTATCCATGGGATTCTATCGTGTCCAAGTTCCACCTTGGTAAGAATCTATGCTGCTAGACCTCTGAAAATGAAGCTACCATTCCACTGGAAACCATAAATTGTTGCGATTCATATTTCTGTGAGAAAATTCAGTCAGGGGCGAAGAGACACAAATCGTCTTGTCTCATCCATCTGATGAGACCCATTCAGGGGGAAATCACAATCAGTTGTTTTTCAGAACTCCCCTGCTTTAAACATCTGCAACTGCCATTTCGAAAATAAAGGGAAGGAGTATATTGAGAAAATACCAAGTTGTGAATAGCATTGCGGAGAAACATAATGGTTGCCAAACGGTCCACTCAAGCTAAATGCTTCACGTCGGTGCTTACGAGTACAACAGGCTTCGAATCATTTCACGCAAGATTGAATTAGACAGGAAAACGTACTTGAAACCCGGGTAGGTTGGCGCACGGGTCATCAATTGTGCAATTCCCTCCCATACACTTGTATCGTGTTGCGTTTTTGTGGGTGCATTTATGTTCCTCACCTGGGCATCGCCATGGTCCCCAAGCAGCTTCCAGCTTGCAACGCCTTTCCTCCACATCTGCACACACAGGCACCAGGACGAGACAGGATAGGACAGTGCAAAAGGTAAAGCAAGTGGTCATGACTAAGAGCACACACAGGTCAAGTTGCAACCCCTTGGAAGACAAATGCAGAGATTTAAATTGCACAAATCGATCACTCACAGACTGGCAAGAGCACGTGACTCAAAGTCGACAAGTAAGCTGGTCCCCTGTGGGTTCATTAGAAGCAGTCCAGTTTTTAACAGTAATGCAGGAGACAGTTTGATTGCGTGGTGGATAGATAGATAGATAGATTTTCAAAGGATAATTTAAGACGCAAATCCTGTTAAGGTATTTGTGAACGTCTGCACAGCAGTGGAACTAACGAAGTTCTACTTGATACCCAGAATTACTTGGGAGTACGGCTAGAGTCAATATGCCGCAGTTTTTACGTCGGCAGTTGTGCATTGTAGACAAAGCCAACTCTACGTTTGAAAGACTGCAGGCGGAAGTTGCAAAGCGCATATTTCATGGTGTTACTGAAAGCAAACCCTTTCTACTGGTCGACGGAAAATTCAGGAATTTACACCGCTTTGAATGTATGCATTATCGTTAATCATGCATGTACGTCAGAAAAATGCGTGGGTTAAAACAAAAAATGTTGGTACCTGAACCTGCTGCAGAAACTGGGAAGATGCAATTAATTCCCTAAATGGTGGAGTGCACTCAGATTTGTTGTGATTGGGCCAAGCCGATTTTTTATCGTGCCTGTAAACCTGGAAATCTTCAGGCTCATGAGTATGGGCTAAAGAGTTACTTGAACTTCCACGTCTCTCTGGCCCAAACCGACCGTAACCTTCGGGATTCAGAGAATATACTGTTTTTCGGGAGTAAACTTAGTTTCAGATGCTCAAGGAACCTATCACTGACCACTGAAGATAAAGGGCTGGAATTCATGATGAAAGTGAACGCAGTTATTGATACTGAGGTAGCTATTAGCCGCAATGTGAGCGAATAAATACTTCATAAATTTTACCGAGACTATGGAGGTTTTTCGACGAAACGGCTACCGTGGACAACATAGATTCCGAGATCCCTCTTTCCCACCTGCTATTCATTATCACCAGCGTCAGATTCATCATTAGGGACATTACTTGAGACGAATTTAACCTGGTGACTTGAATGCTACAAACCAACTACTGTCGATATGCTACCGACGAATTAACTCACTGATCATCTCACAAACCTACTCCCGTGAGTGGCACGTACAGTCAATTTTTAGAGCGGTCGTGAAAACGGTGGTAATTTTACATTTTTTAAATGGAATATTCTGCAGTACTTTTTAAATACTCGTCCTCTTTCGGGGATCAGGTGTTCTGTCGTCTGCGCCGATGATCAGCAGTGTTCGTCGCTCACTTGTCTTTGTTCTTTCCATCTGCAGCTGCAATAACATTTTGTGTAATGGCAAAATGTGATTGTATTTTATGACATGTTCTTCCCAGAGAACGGATAAAATTCATGTGTCAACTTGCTTTTAGTTAAAAAACTGGTCTTTTGAGAATAAAAATTGAGAGAAACCCTGCCTCTGAATTTTGGTCCTTGACTTCATTTTGAACAGTTCAAACAAGTCCGCGTATAAGGAGAAGCAGGGAAATATAGAGAAATAGTGAAAGTATCTTCACTTCAAACTGCGGCATGTATAGCAAACCTGTTCAAGTTTCTGGGTCTTAGTACGTGTCGAAACACTGGCAGGTTGAATGAATGGGCTATAAACTTCCCAATCTGAAGAAAAACACCATTGGCTGATTCAATAACTTTGGTCATCCTAGAATTGGGACAAAAACTGAAAGTATCCTGTGTGTCTGCGGCAGAAACGGTATATTTTTCCTAGTCAGCCTAATTAGTGTCTCTTCATAGCGAGGAAACTTACACTGGATTTCCGAAAACAAGGTGGATTCCGAACTGAAAGAGGATGCATCGATCACTTCCGACATATTCTGGAACAACGACACAACTTCTCGCAAGCAACAATGACTGTGTTAGGTGACAGTTGGCTTGTTCGTTGAGCTGGGCTGCAAACGTTTCATCACCAATCGAGGTGACATCAGTGAGTTGCTGAGGAGCGTAGTGTTCGTAGCGATGTGTTGGTGGTTGTGCTTGGTGGTGTGTGGTTGTGCGGTGGTATGTTTTCCTCCATAGAAAATGGGTGTGTTGCTTAATCTGAAGGCTGCCTTTGACTCTATGGATCATGAAGTGTCTATGCTGCTTGAGGTAGTAGACGAATTTGGGTAACTTGGCAGGCCGTATCATTCCTGGTGGTCTCTCGAGAGGTGATATTTCCATCCGGATTTGGGAGGGCCAGATCAGTTTTGTGAACCTTTGTCACCTGTGGCGCAGGCGTGCCATCACCCTATCCGTCAAAGATCGATCCATTTTGCTATACGGGTCAGAAACCTAGCTACTGCGCGCCCAAGGCGTCAAAAATCTTTTACTGTTCAGCACTCGATGTCTTCAGGCCATTGCCCGAGACTGGTGGGATCACCGGATTAGCAATGGAGAAGTACGTCAAACGTCAGAAGAAACAACTCGCTCACGACAGATTAATTGATAACACTCCATAGGTTGTGCTGGATTGGACACGTGCTCCATATACCAGTCGAACGACTTCCTCGACGGGTTCTTTTTAAAACATCACGCGAAGGGTAGAAACGAGCCAGGGGAGGTAAAACTATAACCTGGCGGGGGGTTGTGAACTCATTTGCTACGGGTTCTTTTTAAAACATCACGCGAAGGGTAGAAACGAGCCAGGGGAGGTAAAACTATAACCTGGCAGCGAGGTGTGAAACTCATTTGCGCTGGTCATTGCTATCTCCTTGGATGGGGACTCCAAGACGGGCCTCATCAATGGTTGGAGTCATCATCGTCATCATCATGATCGCAAGCTGTAATAACCGCGTACTTGTCATACAGTGGTTGTAGCTGCCACAGTTTTGTTCACCGATAATTCGGAGAGGTGAGTTCATTGTCATAAATTCCGCTTACAACCACTTTACTACAAGTACGCGGTTCTTACAGCTGGTAGTGATGATGATCAAAAGAATAAAAATAGATTACATGTAGAAGAAAGACACAACTCACAAGGTTGGTTAAAATTCGTCGACATCCCACTTCCAGTCTTGTCTCCACAGAATTCATCAGGTAACCACAGATTAAACACTTCATGAACGAGCAATTAAATTGGGTCTCCCATGCAAACCAAACAGCTGAGCAAATGAGCGCATATTGCTAATTTTTTGCAACTTGTGTTGAGGCAGAACACAAACTTGAGGGAAAGCTGGGGGGAGGGCGAAACTCGTCGTAGAGGGTCAGTGAGTTTTTAACCAACCTTATGAAATTACCTCTATACAATGTAGTTCCATGATGGCGTATTATACCAACTGAAACACGAAGCCGTTTGGTGCAGTACCTTCAGTTGAAGAAGAGCATCATGAACGAGGGATTCATTTGAATCTTCTGGTAAGACCAAATTGCTATGCAAATGTGTGCGTTTCGCTAGGAACATATTTTGATTTCATCAAAATTTGCGACGAAAATGGAGCAAATATCTTCGCTTACATTTAGGCCAGCCTATCCTTGGAATTATTCTACTCGTCTTCCTTGTAATAACTATGACTACAGGGATCTTATAGGCTGATTCTCATTACAAAACTTAGTATTCATTGAAGTAGTTTTCTGTAACATAAAACTACGATAAAAATATTGACACAGTAATACGTTTAATAAAAGTCATAAACAGAATCATAAATAAACCAAATTCCTGAATAATTAAACATAATTAATAACAAAAATGAAAGTAATAAAAGACGTTCCATGACATTTGTGTTCAGGAGGGTGACTGGTCGGTCGTTAGCTACAGAGGCCAGAGCGACTGTACAGTCTCGAGAATTCATTGGCAAGCTCCACCCGGGACACATACTTGACACGCTCCGTGAACAGCAGCATGACAAAACATTCGAAACCGAAGGAAGCAAAACGACTACATCGAACGAGAGACTGGGCCAATTACTACTGCATTCAATTTTGTAGCACGCAGTTCCTTCAAAATGGTCGTTACCAAAGTTGACTCATTTGATTTCATTGCTGATTTAATTTTGGAAGACGATCGAGTAGTAGAACCTCATGAACCGTGCAAGTGATAAGGAGGTTCATACTTGCATGTTAGAATTAATTTGAAATTATTTTTGATATGGTAAAAAAAATAAGCTTGTCGGCTGCCTTACTGCAGAGAAAAACGGTTGTTTATTAACCACTTGATTATGTGACAAATCCCTGCGACCATTACGGTAGGTTTTGTACCGAGGCCACGCAGTAGACTGAACACCAGATCCAGAGTTGCGTAGTAACTCGGTCATGACGGTTTCCGTTTGTTGATCGGCTGCCGTCCCGCGAAATATCAACGAGAAATCGTGTAGAGGAATGCGACACTGTGGACGTTGTAAAATCCACTGACTCCATAGCCGATTGTAGTATCTAATACGCCTGCGCATCAACCTACTGCGCAGCGGAACAATCACGTAAAACGGCCGTGCGATTATGCCCACACGTCTGAATCACGTCAGATTTCAGCGTGTGCCGGAGAAAGTTCAAAAAAGGGACACAGAAAGTTCACGCCCACTCCATGGCCAAGCGCACAGACGGCCATCTATGGTCAACCGAGACAAAGGGACAACCGCACGAGAACCGGTGTGGGCGTGTGGGAGGCACAATGGTTGGTTGACAGTGGATCGATCATCGGATACGGCCACAGGTGAATCATATATATAGGAAAGTTGTAATTGCGTTAATACGCAGTTCCTTCTGGTCGCCTTCTTGTCTTCTGACTATAACCCAGCAGAGTCAGGGAAGGTGAAGATATACAACAGTATCTATGGTAAAACGTGTAAATACTGAACTTTCAAAGAAGTCGATCAACAGTAGTTGGTCAAATTGAAAAGTTCAATACTGGTTCACATTCAAGTCAAACTAGTGCCGTGGAATGCGGACACATTGTAAGACAAAGTATAGGTTTTCTTATTGGTTTTAGAATAAAGTATTTCCCTATTGAAAAAACGATACATTTTATCTGAGCTTTTAGTTCTCAGTGAATATTACATTGCCAATATTTGTTTAGAAACCATATGAGTTAATTGGCTTTATGAGTTTTGCTTTGCTTTAAAATCTCTATCTACGGAGAAATGGGTGGATTAGCAACGAGATTCTAAATTGGTACCCATTTAGCGATAGCTCTGTCAATGAGATCAGACGCGAAATTTCATCCCAGTTATCTGAAATTTCCCACATTATAGACAACTCGTTGACGACATCCTTGATTCAACCGGAGAGGAGTTATTTGTCCTCAAAACCTGGCCCATTCGATAACCTATTTTCTGTTCAGTGTAAAGTCAACGACTCCTACAAAAATGAGCACAACATAAGTAGCGTTTGAAAGTGTGAAAATACTTACTTGACCAGATGAGATTGCATAATGTTGTCCCTCAGGGATCTGCGAAGTTACTTCAGACCTGTCCGACACATTATTTCTGTTCCACAAGTTTTGAGATTTCATTTCCCTTGAACTGCATTCTGAATGTAAAAACTGCTTATGTGTGTGCACGGCTACGGGCTGTGTGCTACGGCATTGGCGATGGGCGGTTTGAGTATTTGTATGAACCGGTACAACATCGTCTTGAGTTTGCGGGTAAAGGTCAAGGCCGCACAGCCCACTCGGAGCTGGTACATCGAACACATATCTGATGGACGTAGGAACATGTTCGACAGGACTGACTGGAGATGGTTCCTGCCATGTGTTATTTTTTCTGTGCAGATCAAATGGGCCTAAATTTTCAGAACCGTGGTTATTTCTGAAGCACGAAGCACCGCAGTCGAACCGCAGTTTATGCCCAGCTGGCTGTCCTTGGATGACATTGAACCCTTGGTATTTCGTCTGACTGCTACTAATTCTGCACATGACAGTGCAAGGTTTGAATGCCACAAAGTTTTGAAGTGAAATTCCTTCGCTTGTTACTGTAGACTGAATGTTTGGTGAAATCCGAATTCCATGATGTGTGGCGGAGCGCGTCATCATTTTCCCGCCAAACTGGCTGTCATTCTAGCAATAGTCTGGAGAACGAACGGTTCACCCCAAATTCAGGTATTCAAAGTTCGAAGTAGTTAACTAACACTTTGACAGCATCCTAAACGTCCCCTCAAGATGGAACCTAACCAAGTGCCGCACCACATTGGCTCATAAGATATGCAAGAAGTACACTGTCAGGAAGGCGGAAGTTCACTTCCGCTACCTTGAAAATGTTACACGATTAGGATCCACCGAGGACTTGGTTCCAAATAGTGAAAATGGAAGGGGTAGGAAACCCGCTCAATTACGCTCAGCATCGTTAAAGTGGCCAAGGAAATTTCAATATATTAGCATAGAACAGGAATTTTGTAAGAATATTTTTATCCCTCGCATCTTAGGATTCACATCAGTGAAGATTGTTCCCCAAATTTTATTAGTATGGATATTATGTGCGTGCTCCGCAAACTTCTTTTATTCCTCTGTTTGTCAGTTTGGCGTGAATCGTTCAACTCAGTAACTGTCTCACAGAGTGGCTCATCATATTTCGTCAGTTGATAGAATCCGAAGCACCTTTTAATCGAGCTTAATCACAGCGCCAGTAGAGTTTCACTAATGGACGTTTATCTGATTTTAACATACTTTCGATTTTCGTGAAGGAAACTACTCACAAGGTTGCTGAAAACGCTTCGACAGCCGACGACCGGTTTCGCCCTTCTTGGGGCTCATCAGGTAGGCGCAGCCCCCGAGTTTCCGTCTACCTTATGATCTACTTGAACCCAAATTGCACTGTTTTTAAGAAATACACCAATTTGCAAATCAATTTGGTTTTCACGGGAGACTCAATTGAATCTCTCGTTTATGATGTCCTCGAGCTGAATGTGCTGCACACATTCCTATTTCTCTCTTTAGAACGTTTTCCCGTGAATAACCATAGGGTACATGTGTTACTCAGGTGGATTCACTCCGCCTGTCACAAGCTCCAGTTTTCCGGTAAAACAAGGTTCTTGCGTTTTGAAAGACAATTTGACTGAGGATAATAACCACTGCATATAGTGGGGGCTTATGCGGATCTGCAAATACTCCTTACAGGTTGCACGTAGATAAATAGTTGTTCTATCAGTACAAAAATTTCAAGCCCTACACTGGTCCCAGAGGACAACTCAAATCGTGCTGATGAGTCTTTAAACATGCAACTTCTTCTGTTCTTTTGATTGGTTTGATGATTCTTTTATATACTTTAAACTGAATCTAAAAATCGGATCGCTCTACTCTGATAAACTGCATGAAACCAAGGAAACATTTTGAAATATCTGTATATTCTTCTATCAGCTACTCACGTAGCTTATAACACCGCTCAAGAAACTCTGTTCATCAGCTCTCTACAGAAAAACCTTCACACCCCAGACATATTTGTCGAATACAATAAGCAAACGATGGAAATAGCATTCATATCTATTCGAAAGTAAGCCGGAGCGCGTACACAAAGCGTAGGTCTATTTATGATCAGTTCTGTGCTTCGAATATTTGTAATGGAGGAAAGCGACCATAAAAATGCCGGAATGCAGCAGAATAGGAAGCAGCTGATAATTAGCCCACACTAAGTTATTTTCAAACTTGAGTGAATCCAGTTTCATTTGTTTGAGTTGGTTGAATCTGTTCAATCTGCCATTGGTCAACCAGTTTTTTGGAGTCAGTTACTTCCGACGTAGAAATCCATGATCCAACATAAGGGAGAAATTGATTTGAATCTTCCGGATTTTGAGTAACCAGGTGAATTCCATATGATAGACCTTTCAGCGAGGGTTCGGTTGTAGATGAGCTGCAAGAAGGCGTCTGGCCTAGCATTGCAGAGAACGCCTGAAGGGAACGTAATGGAAGATAAGACCAGCTCATTTAATAATTGTTTCTCCCAGAGATAAAAAGATTCATATAATTCATCTTTTGGCTTGCCCAATCGTGCAACAACGCAAAATATCGTTTGCGAACCTAGCTGCAAAGCATGCGCGCAGCATCTAAGCAAAAATATGGATCTACTAATAGGATATATATATTTTGGACCGCATTATCTCGAGAAGGAATATTTAATGGACGCGGTGCTGGATGCATCCACAAGTGATTTCAGATTATGGTGCACACACTTGCAGTCTTCCACCCAATGAAAGTACTACTCGGCTGGTTCAGTAATATGTTGCTGGTTGGTTGCTTCCGCCAAACCTCAGGTAAGTAGGTAGGAACTTTGATTTAACAAAAGGGGACACATGAGTGCGTCCGCTGGACCGCTGATTGTGATCTACGTCTAACTTATGAATAGGAATATATGAAATGATGAATTTCTACTTTACCGTGCTATTTTGGAAACAAAAGTATACTTTTTTGCCCCCAGTTCAGGATTTTTTTGAAGTAATTCAAAATGGTCATTTTCTGCGGTAGTTCTCCTAGTGAAGCGGACGCCAATTCTGTCAAACTGTTCACATCAAACTGTTCTTGGTTTTCATCTGTGATTGGTCGGTTCCAGCACTTTGCACGCTTTTCCTTTTAGTGGGCTCCAACAGTAGACATGCACGTGCGTCAGCGGTATCGTGTGTGTTGATCGTACACAAGATGGAGTACAACAGTGCGTGTTTTACATCTGAGACTAGGTATCCAAAGTATTCAAGTGTGACTCCTAGCCTGTCTCCAGCCTCGATTAAAAACTAAATCTGACCATGCAACATAATGGAGCTAAGGCTACGTAAGGCGTGAGTTACAGGAGGCGCGCACACTCAGCGCCACTGAATGCTAATGTGAAGAGCTTGATGCAGGCATGCTGAAGAGAACTAGATACGCTTGTCTAATGTGTAGATCACAAGCAAGTTTACAGTTCTACCCAGCAATCCCAAAATACAAATAAACCTGCCGACCCGTCATTTCGGATACGGCTGTTATTGGTCGAAAATAGGGTTACCTGTTGGTATTTTGGACAGTGTCACACTCTTGTAATAGAGGGAAAAACAGTGAGATGCCAAGTATTCCAAGACTTCCCATCTGCTTCTGAGGTATCACTATTTTGGGTTTTAAATCATTTTTACGAGTTGTACGTTCGTGCTCAAAGGCTAACAGATGAAACTCCTACAAAAATGAGCACAACATAAGTAGCGTTTGAAAGTGTGAAAATACTTACTTGACCAGATGAGATTGCATAATGTTGTCCCTCAGGGATCTGCGAAGTTACTTCAGACCTGTCCGACACATTATTTCTGTTCCACAAGTTTTGAGATTTCATTTCCCTTGAACTGCATTCTGAATGTAAAAACTGCTTATGTGTGTGCACGGCTACGGGCTGTGTGCTACGGCATTGGCGATGGGCGGTTTGAGTATTTGTATGAACCGGTACAACATCGTCTTGAGTTTGCGGGTAAAGGTCAAGGCCGCACAGCCCACTCGGAGCTGGTACATCGAACACATATCTGATGGACGTAGGAACATGTTCGACAGGACTGACTGGAGATGGTTCCTGCCATGTGTTATTTTTTCTGTGCAGATCAAATGGGCCTAAATTTTCAGAACCGTGGTTATTTCTGAAGCACGAAGCACCGCAGTCGAACCGCAGTTTATGCCCAGCTGGCTGTCCTTGGATGACATTGAACCCTTGGTATTTCGTCTGACTGCTACTAATTCTGCACATGACAGTGCAAGGTTTGAATGCCACAAAGTTTTGAAGTGAAATTCCTTCGCTTGTTACTGTAGACTGAATGTTTGGTGAAATCCGAATTCCATGATGTGTGGCGGAGCGCGTCATCATTTTCCCGCCAAACTGGCTGTCATTCTAGCAATAGTCTGGAGAACGAACGGTTCACCCCAAATTCAGGTATTCAAAGTTCGAAGTAGTTAACTAACACTTTGACAGCATCCTAAACGTCCCCTCAAGATGGAACCTAACCAAGTGCCGCACCACATTGGCTCATAAGATATGCAAGAAGTACACTGTCAGGAAGGCGGAAGTTCACTTCCGCTACCTTGAAAATGTTACACGATTAGGATCCACCGAGGACTTGGTTCCAAATAGTGAAAATGGAAGGGGTAGGAAACCCGCTCAATTACGCTCAGCATCGTTAAAGTGGCCAAGGAAATTTCAATATATTAGCATAGAACAGGAATTTTGTAAGAATATTTTTATCCCTCGCATCTTAGGATTCACATCAGTGAAGATTGTTCCCCAAATTTTATTAGTATGGATATTATGTGCGTGCTCCGCAAACTTCTTTTATTCCTCTGTTTGTCAGTTTGGCGTGAATCGTTCAACTCAGTAACTGTCTCACAGAGTGGCTCATCATATTTCGTCAGTTGATAGAATCCGAAGCACCTTTTAATCGAGCTTAATCACAGCGCCAGTAGAGTTTCACTAATGGACGTTTATCTGATTTTAACATACTTTCGATTTTCGTGAAGGAAACTACTCACAAGGTTGCTGAAAACGCTTCGACAGCCGACGACCGGTTTCGCCCTTCTTGGGGCTCATCAGGTAGGCGCAGCCCCCGAGTTTCCGTCTACCTTATGATCTACTTGAACCCAAATTGCACTGTTTTTAAGAAATACACCAATTTGCAAATCAATTTGGTTTTCACGGGAGACTCAATTGAATCTCTCGTTTATGATGTCCTCGAGCTGAATGTGCTGCACACATTCCTATTTCTCTCTTTAGAACGTTTTCCCGTGAATAACCATAGGGTACATGTGTTACTCAGGTGGATTCACTCCGCCTGTCACAAGCTCCAGTTTTCCGGTAAAACAAGGTTCTTGCGTTTTGAAAGACAATTTGACTGAGGATAATAACCACTGCATATAGTGGGGGCTTATGCGGATCTGCAAATACTCCTTACAGGTTGCACGTAGATAAATAGTTGTTCTATCAGTACAAAAATTTCAAGCCCTACACTGGTCCCAGAGGACAACTCAAATCGTGCTGATGAGTCTTTAAACATGCAACTTCTTCTGTTCTTTTGATTGGTTTGATGATTCTTTTATATACTTTAAACTGAATCTAAAAATCGGATCGCTCTACTCTGATAAACTGCATGAAACCAAGGAAACATTTTGAAATATCTGTATATTCTTCTATCAGCTACTCACGTAGCTTATAACACCGCTCAAGAAACTCTGTTCATCAGCTCTCTACAGAAAAACCTTCACACCCCAGACATATTTGTCGAATACAATAAGCAAACGATGGAAATAGCATTCATATCTATTCGAAAGTAAGCCGGAGCGCGTACACAAAGCGTAGGTCTATTTATGATCAGTTCTGTGCTTCGAATATTTGTAATGGAGGAAAGCGACCATAAAAATGCCGGAATGCAGCAGAATAGGAAGCAGCTGATAATTAGCCCACACTAAGTTATTTTCAAACTTGAGTGAATCCAGTTTCATTTGTTTGAGTTGGTTGAATCTGTTCAATCTGCCATTGGTCAACCAGTTTTTTGGAGTCAGTTACTTCCGACGTAGAAATCCATGATCCAACATAAGGGAGAAATTGATTTGAATCTTCCGGATTTTGAGTAACCAGGTGAATTCCATATGATAGACCTTTCAGCGAGGGTTCGGTTGTAGATGAGCTGCAAGAAGGCGTCTGGCCTAGCATTGCAGAGAACGCCTGAAGGGAACGTAATGGAAGATAAGACCAGCTCATTTAATAATTGTTTCTCCCAGAGATAAAAAGATTCATATAATTCATCTTTTGGCTTGCCCAATCGTGCAACAACGCAAAATATCGTTTGCGAACCTAGCTGCAAAGCATGCGCGCAGCATCTAAGCAAAAATATGGATCTACTAATAGGATATATATATTTTGGACCGCATTATCTCGAGAAGGAATATTTAATGGACGCGGTGCTGGATGCATCCACAAGTGATTTCAGATTATGGTGCACACACTTGCAGTCTTCCACCCAATGAAAGTACTACTCGGCTGGTTCAGTAATATGTTGCTGGTTGGTTGCTTCCGCCAAACCTCAGGTAAGTAGGTAGGAACTTTGATTTAACAAAAGGGGACACATGAGTGCGTCCGCTGGACCGCTGATTGTGATCTACGTCTAACTTATGAATAGGAATATATGAAATGATGAATTTCTACTTTACCGTGCTATTTTGGAAACAAAAGTATACTTTTTTGCCCCCAGTTCAGGATTTTTTTGAAGTAATTCAAAATGGTCATTTTCTGCGGTAGTTCTCCTAGTGAAGCGGACGCCAATTCTGTCAAACTGTTCACATCAAACTGTTCTTGGTTTTCATCTGTGATTGGTCGGTTCCAGCACTTTGCACGCTTTTCCTTTTAGTGGGCTCCAACAGTAGACATGCACGTGCGTCAGCGGTATCGTGTGTGTTGATCGTACACAAGATGGAGTACAACAGTGCGTGTTTTACATCTGAGACTAGGTATCCAAAGTATTCAAGTGTGACTCCTAGCCTGTCTCCAGCCTCGATTAAAAACTAAATCTGACCATGCAACATAATGGAGCTAAGGCTACGTAAGGCGTGAGTTACAGGAGGCGCGCACACTCAGCGCCACTGAATGCTAATGTGAAGAGCTTGATGCAGGCATGCTGAAGAGAACTAGATACGCTTGTCTAATGTGTAGATCACAAGCAAGTTTACAGTTCTACCCAGCAATCCCAAAATACAAATAAACCTGCCGACCCGTCATTTCGGATACGGCTGTTATTGGTCGAAAATAGGGTTACCTGTTGGTATTTTGGACAGTGTCACACTCTTGTAATAGAGGGAAAAACAGTGAGATGCCAAGTATTCCAAGACTTCCCATCTGCTTCTGAGGTATCACTATTTTGGGTTTTAAATCATTTTTACGAGTTGTACGTTCGTGCTCAAAGGCTAACAGATGAAACTCCTACAAAAATGAGCACAACATAAGTAGCGTTTGAAAGTGTGAAAATACTTACTTGACCAGATGAGATTGCATAATGTTGTCCCTCAGGGATCTGCGAAGTTACTTCAGACCTGTCCGACACATTATTTCTGTTCCACAAGTTTTGAGATTTCATTTCCCTTGAACTGCATTCTGAATGTAAAAACTGCTTATGTGTGTGCACGGCTACGGGCTGTGTGCTACGGCATTGGCGATGGGCGGTTTGAGTATTTGTATGAACCGGTACAACATCGTCTTGAGTTTGCGGGTAAAGGTCAAGGCCGCACAGCCCACTCGGAGCTGGTACATCGAACACATATCTGATGGACGTAGGAACATGTTCGACAGGACTGACTGGAGATGGTTCCTGCCATGTGTTATTTTTTCTGTGCAGATCAAATGGGCCTAAATTTTCAGAACCGTGGTTATTTCTGAAGCACGAAGCACCGCAGTCGAACCGCAGTTTATGCCCAGCTGGCTGTCCTTGGATGACATTGAACCCTTGGTATTTCGTCTGACTGCTACTAATTCTGCACATGACAGTGCAAGGTTTGAATGCCACAAAGTTTTGAAGTGAAATTCGCTTGCTTGTTACTGTAGACTGAATGTTTGGTGAAATCCGAATTCCATGATGTGTGGCGGAGCGCGTCATCATTTTCCCGCCAAACTGTCGCGCACGTCATCATTTTCCCGCCAAACTGGCTGTCGCGCAAAACGTGGTCTGGGATTTCACCTGGAAATGTATATGAACGCCAGGATACCCAAAGGGAAAGACAAGCAGCATAAATGTCTTTGGGAATTCATGAAAAATTTGATGATTGTCAATACATGAAACGCGATAATATCACCGACAGATCCTCAGTATGGATACAGGTATAGATTATGCTTAGATGTTCTTGTACTGGAGCCAACCAGCAACCAATTTCTTTTACGTTCTTTGGATTTGGAATTACACATGATACTTTGACCTAAACATTAGGGATAAGGTAGGTTTAATTTTAGTGAATAATGTGTATTTTCTTTATACGAGCGTACTCAACAGCTATACTTGTGTTAGTTTTGTCACTTCACTGCTTGAATACTGAGACAATGCTATTCGTAGTTCCAGCAAGGAGCACTCCAGCCTTTCTAGTTGTCCTCGTGGATGCCAGTCAAAATCCTTCACTGATATTTTCAAATGCCATTTCGAATGCCAGAGCACAGGCTATCCACGGTCTTCATCTCAAGAAAACTAAATGGTAAAATCGTCTTTTAGCTGTCCAAAGTCTTACATTTCCATCGACAGGAAAGAAAGCCATTTTTGTGACTTTGCTTGCACAGGAGCTTTGGCTGCTGAGATATTTGTTTGAAAACATAGAAGCAAATAGATTCTATCAATGCAGCCAATGTTCTGCCTTTCAAATGTGTTCGGTTCACAGCTTGCGTAACAAAAGTACACTGTTGCTGCTGACCTCATCTGAGGCAAGCGGTCCAATCATTTGCATTGGTTACCGGCCCCATGTTGTTCGAGGGACCCGTCAACGTCACATGGCGGATGTATCGGATAGCGATATAAGGAAACGCAGCTCACACTTTTAGAGCTGTACGATCACATAGTGGAAATAGTTGAGTGAGCCTATATAGCCTGTGCTTACAGATAATAGCACCTTGGCTGAATCGGTCCCGTAGTTAGGACAGAACGAATCAGTGGTCACATCATACTTCAATTGAGGTCCAACGATCTAAAGCCCATATCCGCTACTATGTTTGACAGAAGCTAAGAGGAATTTTCTAGGGATGTTTCTTTCCTGATTTTCATATATTTGTGTCTGATTTTATTACGCATACTCATGCTGTGTATCATCGAAAGATAACCTGGTAACATGCCTTCTGATTTCACTTGTAGCCAACTTTTCGCCATATACATGACTGTACAGGTCAACGCCAATCGCTAGATCACGAGATTTGTCTTTTTCCCTTACACTCAAATCACGCCACAGAATCGTGACTAACTTGACTACACAGCTCACAGCCAAGCCCTCGATCCCAAGACTCGCATTCTTTCCCTACACGTACAAATCACGACGCACAAAGGTGACTCATCTGACATCGACTGTATACCGGTAACAAATCATGTGCTGACGCCCACACACACGCAAACGTTCCTACATATAGGATAACAGCACAGCATCACAACACAACTCAAGAGAGCTTCGCACGTCGCCCAACTCGGAGCAGAACCGCTCGGGACTTACCGCGCTTCACTCACGGATATTCAGGAATACGTGTGGCTGCTACAACAGCGAAGAAGACACGAAACCTGCATCCGAACTTACGACAGGATTTATCAACCTGTGCCTGCAATGCGATGTCTCTTGTTCACAATTATACCTATTGTAACCATTTTACTTAACAAGCTGACATTTTTAGTGCTCCCCGTTTTTTTTTGTTCATATAACTAATTTTTGGTTCGATTAGAGCATTAACAAACTCACAATTTGCATGGATCTCTGGCGGTTATAGGAGCATTAACACACTCACCAGCGAACTCCAGGGAGTGCCTTGAATTATTCGGTGACTCATCGAGACCCAATAGATCCACCGTTTGAAGTGTTCCAGTGTCCCATGGCGGAGGACTTGACATCCAGGGCTCCATGGGGCTTTGTTGCAATTCAGATATTCTTGGGCTTCGTGCACAGCTGCCAACAAAGCTTGTATACATACAATGTGCCGACGGCTGCACATAACGCTCGCTCAGTAGGAGAGGAAATTCAAGAGAATTAGCTTTTTCGTTGCCTCTGTGACCATTTACGTTCGCATGTGTGGTTGTCATTGGGCATGGCTCGAAGCTCATACAACAGTCTGGCAGCTTGTCCGATGCAATGTGACCGGAAAACTTCCTTGCGAGATAGCGAGAGTTGTGTAGATTTTGGCGCTTCACACTTGTGTAGAAAAGGAAACCTAAGCCAATGATTGTCAAGGTGGCACAGAACGCCAAAAGGAGTAAAAACCACCACCTTTGATGTAGGATGTTCTTTGATGGAGATACTGAAAAATACAATGTACGTCAATTAAGAATGAGCGACTGAAAACCGTTAACGAGTAAGACTCTTGAAGATGGCATGTAGTGAAGGATAACCCACAATCATTCATCGAAAACCGGGGATACATGAAGCTTAAGACTCATGAAATACTGTAAAGGGAGTCACAGTATATTTAATTTCAGCAGAGACCTTCCTGGTTTTTTGAAGTTGTAAATTATAATTTTATTGTTGTACACATCAAAAGACGCATAAAGGGTGTCTAGTAAGAGTCTAGCCAGAGTCAAAGCCTTACCAGCTAAATTAAATTATTATTTGTTTTGATCGAGACATCTCAGGTTGAAGGTAGATCTATCAAAGATTCGCATGGCTATTTTTGTAGAAATAGCAGTGAGAACCTCCAGCAGTTTTTTCCTTATTGTGTCACCACTAAATATCTGTAGTACGTACTTAGCTTTGCAGAGATATATAAACATGAAATATCATAAGAAACTGAGAAGTGACGTAGCCGTCCGTTGCGATCCACGTTTATGTAAAGAATTTGGCTACTATAAGCTGTCCGAAGGTTCCGAACTCACAACGCATGGACAGACGTACCGATTTTGTATCTATGTACAAACTGCACCGTTATCATCTGGCCCTGAACCGAAGGTTCCATAAAACTGTGCAGTGTTGTATCGTCAGGGCATCCAAACCTAGCAGACACGTGAAAATTTTACACCATGAACACAATAGGTTAGTTCATTGTTTCGATAACTAATGACAGCCAGAAACACACTTACAAGGTACGACGAACCAGTTGGACTCCGGCCCAATTTCGCCCAAGCAATGTTCGCTGGCAGCAGATACTCGAATCTGTATTGCCACATGGTATGGCGAGTCTGATGTCAAACCAAGCCGAGCAAATGAAGCGGCGACTTGAGACCGGCTGGTCGATTCGTCTGCTACGTTTACAACGGCCGTTTGGTCGTGACTGTTAGCCTCACGTAGACGCATTTGGGAACGGATATCATCCAAGTGAAGAATGAAACTTCGAGTAGTGTGATTTACAGTAGACAAATGATGCCAGATGTTTACCTGTGCTAGAATAGGGTGAAAAAAGCCGGAGGTAAAAATCAGCAAATGCATGTTGCTAAGGTGAAAATACTCGGGTGCATTCATATGAGGTAAATAAAATCCAACACGTCACGACTTTAATTACGTGACACTTCAAAACATGGATGTTTAGGCCCTTTTGTGAAAAGTTCACTTCATCTTCCACAATCTGGTATATTTAGCCAACCCTTAAACGTCTCTCTGCACCGGAAAAACGGCCAAAAAAGCGAAAAAACGTAAGAAAAGGTCCTTACCATATGTTAAAAACATTGGTCTAAGCAAAGTTTTTAATGTAACCAGTGCTACCTACTCAGGAATTCATGAGCTCGACATATTGCTTTCAGATACCCCTGGGCATTAAATTACGATTATTAAACAGAACGATCACCGGTTCTCAACAAGTAGGCCAAGTATGTCTCACTCAGCCATATTTCGAAAAAGATCGAAAATGAAAATACTGTGCAATCCTACGTAGCTTATGCTGATTCTGTCACTTCGAAATTGTAATTGCGAATTTGTGGCTTGTTCGAATCTGGTGTTGTGCTAATTTGTCGGCTAGTTCTAGATACAAACAGGCCGCGTATGTCAAGAGGTTGCGCAGAAGCCGCTTGGCGGGTATCAGCTGTTTTTAATTGACTCTTGGCTATTAAGCCAAGCCAGCGACAAACAGTGTTGTGGCCATAAAATTCTGTCGACAAGTTAAATCATTCATTTCAAGTACCACGAGTCTTATCCCTAGCATTTCAGTGAGCAATGGACAACGTTCTGTGTCACTAATGTTGTCTCGTCGGAAATCGAGACTTTTGCGAAATTTTTCTGCAGGGAAGCAGCATTATCGAATAAATGGCAAACAGTTATGTTTCAGGGAGGAATTTTGTAGTGTGAAAATTAACCAAGTAAATTGCATTTCAGGTTTACAGGATTTAGTTTATCGAATCCAAGTATAATCATATATTTACACCATAGATTTGTTATTTGAACTGCACTGGCAAAACCTGCTGTAGAGGTTATTGGTCATGTTATGGTAACCTCAGACATCTGAGGTTGGACAGCAATCGTGCATCTTTGGAAGGGTAAATCCAGTGAATGCTTGTCGTAACCAGTTGCCTAGTAGAACTAAAATTTGGGATTTGTAGCTTAACCACGTTGCCTACTCAGGGAGAATGCCACCAGTCCTTATTTCAGACACTTTGGGTGAGAAGCAAATCTATGGAATCTAGACGACATAGATATAAAACACTACCATTCTGCACAGAAACCTCCCCGAGACCTCTTCCCAGTAACTCACGTAACTGGGAGGAATCTTTGGAACAGTCTACATTCAGCAAAAGTCGGCACTCCCATTTTCGGCTCTTCAACGAGTTGTTGTACGTGAATAACAACAGTTGTAACCATGTATGAACGGCTACTTGTTTATGAATATGGGGCGGAAGGTCAGTCAGGTGAGTCCGGGATGAACAGATTTGGAGAAGTGGATAATTTAAAAGGAGCATTTTAACTGAACTGAACGGGAAGTTGAAAGAGGATTGATGAATTTTGAAATCCAACATGCCCCTGAGGGTGGATAGGGACCGTCGCTTACGGGAAGTCTCACGAATTACAGACGGCTGATGCTGAAAGTTACAAATTGTTACCCCTTTGGTGCATTAAATCACCGGTGACTTTCGGGTGCATGAGCTCCAAGTACAGTAAACTTTCCTTGTAGCTCAGTTTACCTGACGAATCTCCCGTAAGCGGGAGGTCGTTTCGATTGATCACAAAGCATCTTTTCTGGTCTAATTTTGTTTTTCCAAAGTCCGCTGTCGAAAGACTAGTGAGCAAAATGTGGAATTTTACTTTGCCGCTGGGACAATGACACAACCACCATACCGTTTGCAATTGCAGAATGAAACTGAATGCACCAAGTTTTTTTTTCTTGTCAAGTTCGACGTATCTAGAAGGGTCTTACCCCGAAAACCGACACAAAACACCAGCACAAAATAAGGAAGCTCATTCGAAAGAGTGACCAGAGTAGTGACTGAAAACTCCATCAAAGCATACTCACATAAGCTTGGCATGTTTACGCTTATTAGAAATTCCGTATTGGCAGTTGTATTTCCGCGTCGTATTTACGCAAGTGCACGATTTTACCTGCATCCGTGCTAATGAAAAATGGTCACCAGAATAGCTTGTGTATGGTAACTTGAATGGCATTTCTTCAAATAAAATCAGTTATGCTGACCTAGTCCGTACAATTACGGAACAGCAGAGCGCCATAGTCCGTAAATTTTGCTAATAGCCACACGTCTTTAGTTCCCTCTCTCCCAGAAACGGAGGACATCTAGAAAGGGTTAAATATGAACGTTATATATAATTTGTTTTATTCGACTGTTTTTTTATCACAAGGGCGACAAAAAGAGCGTAACGGAAATTACAGTAGAATGGCAAATCCCGTGCCAACCATTCAACTTGCTTTCACAGGAGCGCTCAAATCACGACAATTGTAAAACTGCTCTTTTCAGTATTTGTATATGTTTGTATACTATTGTGTGCACAGCGTTTAGGAGCTCCATTTTGACATTAGTAAACCGTTTCATTTGACTAAGTAGACCTCCGTCTGGCACATTTTCCTTCTTTGACGTAGGAAGATTTAACATTACACGTGAATTCACTTAGAATGCCGGAATATAAGATAATTTCTCAAATAAACAAGGGACAGCGCACCTAAATATAAAGAAATTTATAGTGAAGATTTGCGCCCCTGTTTAAAGCAAGCCGCATCCTTATTCGAGATAGATAGACCTACCGTTGAGATATTCTCTTCGTTGTTCAGCCTAGCTGAGTCTCAAGGGTTAAGTAGCTATGGCAAAATCTCTTGCCGTAGAGGGTTATTCCAACCATGCCACACGTACATTCATGCTGTCTATGTTAACCACTTCCACTTCCACAGGAAACGACACGATCGCAAGAACATGAACACCAGTGTATATCATGTTTTGACCAGTACATTTAAAGTCCTCAGGGTATGCTTGTTTCTTGAGAACAACCAAGAGCTCTTCCTCAGTCTTCTAGTTGATGTACCAGATGGACGTCAAAGACATGTGACTTGAATATGGAGATGTTAATTTCCAATTAGACCGCATGTTTATCAGAAGGCTAAACTCACATGAGAATCGTATTTCCAACAGAAATTGGGTCACGGAAACCCATCCTTTTGTAGCAAGGTCCCAGGAAATATGAATCACTTGTGAATCTGGTCGGAGTTTCTTGCTTAACAGTCTTTCCTTACTGTAGGCTTCAGACACTGCAGATGGATAAGTGTTATCGTATATGTTTTGTTCTCCAACAAGTGGACGAAGCAACTTCGGTAATAATCTACCTTGTGTTTCGTACCCCTTATTCGTAGGCTGAAAGGGAATAGTTTCTTTAGATGAATTTTGTAGTAAAATGTGTGTCAATTAACACGTGAAACTAAACGGTCAAAAAGGCATTAGCAGTAACAAACGTTGCATGCTACAGCTTTTGCATGATCAGCAATACATCCATCAATAGTTGGATATTTCATAAAGCTTCCCCCACATGAATTTTGATGTGAGTATATTGTTATATTTGTTTTTTGGCCATCCGGCCATCAACTGTTAATCCTCTTTAAGCTTTGGAAACAGCTTTTTATTACACTACCTCCACAACCTGTGGTCTGCGATACGTTGATCCTTCCTCGCTCATCGCTGCTCTTTTAGAACACTGGATATGACGGTAGGTTATTAGACGTGTATTTCGAGTTTTGCTTCTATGATTAACTAGAGGAATGTTTCCGGAAGTCTGTTTCTTAGATGATCTCGGTAAATATTTTCGGAAACGGTCGAACGCGCACAGAAAGTTCCAGAACAGAAAATATCTTTCTGACCTGATATCTTCACCTGTTTGCTTGTGCCAGCCACTCAACTTGACACAGAGGCCGTCCCGTCCGACACTTATGTGTTAGCATGTGCCTACGTGTGGATGTGCGCAGCTGACATACTGAGCCACGCAGGTTGGTATCCCGCTTGCTGAGCCTGCCTTGATTTGTTTTCTCAGGATTTCCGTGTGATCGTACCGCCAATGAGAATCACGAGACTGTCCTCGATAGGAACCACTGCAGCCAACACCACTGAGCCAAAATTCGACACTCGTGTGCGGACGTTGACGCTGCACTGCGCCGGTCAGTGACAGACTTGTGCAGTTATTGATGCCATGAACGTGGACAATTATGATATGTACAAATTTACTAAACCTTGCGTAGAATTTCGAACCCAATCTTTCCTTTTGATAATCGGGATTGTCGAAACTACGCGTCACTTAAAGTTCCGTATCGGTAACCCTCAACACCCACAAGAGTGTGAACCCACTCTACACTCTTGACTTATTCCCACCGTCATTCGTGGACAGTATACGAAACCCTACATTTTCACAACTCACAATCAACTTTTGACGTGTACATCGTCCTCTTTTCCTATCTTACTCTAACAAGGAACGTCTCCGATAGAAGTTTTTCCACACATATACAGTCTGGTTCCAAACTGTTTAGCATTGTATACTGTATAGACTCTTTCTGTCCATTCCAAATTTGCCTTGATAACGGCGAATAGTCACAGAACCACATGACCTCAAGTGATGGTTTGTTTTACATCAGTGCTTGTTTGATGGTTCAATTTCCCTGTGCATGCTTTTTAGCGGGAACTTGTCCCTCTGCCTAACCTCAGCAAGTACAAGTACAAGTAACAGACTGAATCGAAAATTCAGTCATTGGACAAGTTCTTGGGCTGTCTCACAAGCAGAAATAAACACAATAAGAAACACTTCCCCAGCTAAATTGTGCCCCCATTCGGATGACTTTCTCCCCGTCTATTTTGGTGAATCAAACCAATCCAACTGGAAGGAAAACTGGAATCATCGTGAAACTTTAAAATGCGAATAGACCCAAAACAAACCGCTCATTGATGTTAGCTAATTGCCAGTGAGTGTTTGAGAGGTCTAGTGATTTTCGCCCAACAGGGATCGGAGGGGAGTTTCGGTGTTTATATGCATTTGTGAGGCATCCACAGCAGCAAGTTAAATCATTCCAGTGACTTTGCTTTACCAGAATTGAAGTAGAAGGCTGTGACTGGCGCTTGAGAAGTGCTTGAAACAGTAGTGTTACTTCTTATTAAGTTCACACTGTTGAACACTCGCGAAGTAATGTCACCATACACTATCAACGTCTGTCACGCTTTTATTAAAGACCTCTACTCTTTCATGCAACAAGCCCGAACACTTACAAATGCACAGCCATCCATGGACTTGGGAGGTTGAACGGGAACGTGAGAATCAGTGCTCACTAACCAGCAGGCTGTGGGTCCCCATCCTCCATTCCACACTGCGTCGGTCCGGGCCTTCACCTCAAATAGGCAAGTCACATTAGTCTCAATGTGAAATTCTTTGCTTGGATTGGGTGCATTCCAGTACTGTGATGCAGGTATGGATTGGTTGGTAGTTTTTTCGCGTGAAGAAGCTAAAAATTTAGGCGGGAAAAATGTGACTGAATTTGTTCATTTTATAGTTCAAAGTTTACTGAACTATATGAATATGAGAATTTCTTTCTAATAACTCCGTGTTTACACATTTTCAGCTGCAGAAAGTAAAAAGAGGAATCGACCATTCAAGGAATCTGTGAGTCACAGGCAGACAATATATGTTGTCTGTGGCTGTGGAAAGTCTAGAGTCCACATCAACGCTACTCTCATTTGAACAGACCTTCTTCTGTTCTGGCTTCCGCAGTTTGATGTAAAATAACCGAGAAAATTGCTCTAGAACAAGAAGGGTGGCGTGAATGTGAAATATAGGATATTTGCCAAGGTAGGGGGTGCTAGAAAAGTTAGTTAATCTCAGTGCACTCTTGGGTATCACTTTGAGGAGCTCATGTTGCCTAATCACTTGTAAATATCTTAAACATGATACAGTTACTGATATTTTCGATATTCCAGTTATTATGATGAGTCTGAGACATTCTAGGCATCAGCCTCGTCCATGAGGTACTGATGCTGTATGTAAAGATAGATGCTACTTTAATCCCAACCCCAAGTGAAGAAAGTGTCTGTGACCGAGGTACATTGTATCATTTTTCGGTTTATAATACGGATTAAATGTCAGATGATATTGGATCAAAATGCTAGCTCACTGACACATCCTATGAAATCACCTGTTTAATCAATAAATCCAGTTAAAACAGTCGCTCATTTCATTGCAGCTGTTTGTTTCGCTGGATTCTTTGAAAGCGTATGGATGCGACTGACCGAAATTCTCCACTTTCTACTCGTTCAATGACATTCATCAGTTTATCCCACGCAATTAACGAACCTTCATTCAAAAGCTTTCAGCAGCGCATTGATACACCGTATCTGTCAATCGAGTAGACGGTAGACACCCTGTGAGAAACGTCGGACTCGAATTTTCAACATCAAGGAGGCGCTTTATCCGCATAGGGTTTCTGAATTCACCTGCGACTAGATTTCGCGTAATTCGCACCACGATATTTTTCAGATAACGATAAGTTTTGCAAAATTTGGAGTTGTTAAGAGGCACTTTTAAGCCTTAGCAATGACACTAAAGTTATTTGTGGTGGCTCCGCATACATACCGAGTTCTTTGATTTTGCACCCTCCTCACTTCATCAAACCGTCCTACCATTTATTCGGAGCAAAGTATCATGGTTTTCTCGAAGCCGCAATAACACTGACAAACGTTGTTCTTATTCTTACCGTTTTTCAAGGTCTTTACAAAAGAAACATTGGATAAATTTCATATCCTTGTCCTTGCAGATGATAGTCCTACACAATGTGGTTAGATCAATTTCATGAATCTTGAGTAATCGTCAGAATTTTTTGCCTCCAAGAATACTTTGTTTTGTTGCATTGGTTGTCTTCTTTTTAGGTTTTTTTCTGGGCATATATCAAAGACGAATCTTTTATAAGTAGAGTTTTGAATGATGAGTTTGAGTCAACTGTGCAAGAAAACAATTCATAATTGATTTAAGCCATACAGTCTGCCCAATGTCCCTTAATAAACTTGTAGTTGAAATATCTTTAGTCAAATGCAGCGCGAGGGTCCTACTGAGATACTTGAAATCAAGGTTTCTGTTTGCATTGAAAGGGTCAAGGGAAATAAAACAGCAAGTTTGACTTTTCTAATTCAGTATTATAATAATTAACAAGATGATAGAAACCTTAAGTTTGAGGCAGCTGTCGGCCAAAATATTACGCTCAAACTAGCTTCGAATATGAAGTTGGCGTACACAACTAATGTTTTTTAACACTACTATATAACCCTCGAAATATGCTGGGTTTTGCTTCATTCTACCTTCTGTGACAAGAAACTATCAACCAAAATATATCTGTCCGGGGTATTTCATTCGTTGTAATCAGTTGTAATCTAGTCATTGTCTGGGAGTTGAGGCGGATAAACACTTCCTTTGTGCTTTCCATAATCCTCTAGGAAAATATGAAGTTTTCATAAACACAGATGTACCAATACACTCGTTTGGATAACCAAACAACAAACGCATGTAAGCCGTACGTTTGACATCCACATTACCGATTCATACTCATCATCCTCAGGTAGGTTAGAAAACACGAAAAGCATGACAATGGTACGCCATCTGCTACATGAACTTGTCAAGTGGCGTTCATTGATCTTTCGGGTGAAGTAGCAACAAAAGTATGCCTGATAGGAATTGGAACCAGACCGGTTCACAGAACCTAGTGACACACTTGGTGAGACATTGAAAATCCCTTGACTAGCCAGTCAGTGTCTGGGTTTTCAGACCCTGCTACCTGTAACGAGTTGTAGTAGTTGCTGTTTACGAAGTAAAAGAATAAAACTGGACATTGAAAAGACAGCTTTGGAGACACCGGGAGCCTCTTTAAAGGAGTGTTTTCTTTCAACAATCATTATGATACCTTGCATTCAGTTTATTTGTAGTGCTTCGATGTATCTTCATTTTCATACTAGCCTTTGAAATAGTTTTATCGAAATGGATACCTCAAGATCCACAGCTAGGATATAGGGACACTGTTTCCAGAATAGAAACTCCAAGAGTAGTGACTACTTCCTAGGAAAACCAAAATCAGGAGTTTACATTAACAATGATGTAAGATTTCAACCATGAAAGTCTACTTCCTTCTCCAATAAAATCCATGATGTTTGCCTGAACGGTGGTCTTGTCGCGAAATTCCAGTAAAATCGTTTGACCTATGGTAACGAATGGATATCTGCGCAACCAATAGCACGAGAACTAGAACTCACGATAGATAGCATTAACGAACACAACAGAACATTTGTCAAGAAGGAAAGATCTGTTCAATACACAGACACAGCACTCACCTTCATCGGATTTGTGGCCATCAGTTCCCGACCGATGGCATGTTCGTACAATTAAGTATTCTTTCACTTGCCCGTTAACTTCCGCTGGATTTGTCCAGAGTAACATCAGAGAGTTGCGCTTCAACCATTCCGACCAAAGTCGAACTGGTCTTGTTGGAATCCACTGCGCCGTGCAGAGAAACTCTGTACCGCAGTTTGCCGTATTGTCTTGGCTAGATGATAAAGCCGGCGGAAATAATTGTGGTCTCGCCGTCCCAAAATGTAGGATGGCTTCTAAAACGACTTTGTACCTAAAGTAGGGCTTGAGTGGCCACATCACCATGTTAGTGTTGAAACGTTCACTAGTCCAATCACTGGGTTTTCCGGCGTTTAGTTTTGCATGACGTTCTTCTAGGCTATAGATTAGAACGCTTGTGCATGTTGGCGGAACGAACAAGGTGTGATTGGTTGATTTGTTTCCATTCCGTTTGATGTAATTTGGAGCATCGTGCAGAGACATTGATCCCATCGGTATCAACGTCAGCTGTTGGGGTAAAAATATTGGCATAATATAAACTATTGTCAGGTTTCAAGGGTTCAAAATCATTTTGATGTTTGCTCCCACAGATTACGAGAACTTGTTCGAATGTACAGATGCTGTTTAGCTCTCGGTGCCCGTTTGGATAGTAGCAACGGTATCCATCATAGAAGCGCTTATGGCTAAAGATCACGCTATTGTAATTAGTCCGCCAGAGTACTTCTCACTTGTGTAACCAAATTCTGTTCTTTAGAGGTACTTTTTGAATGTAAGTAGAATGACAGGTGTGTGCCCATTTACAGAGGAGCGGTACATCGACGTAACCGCGGTATAAATAATTTTCAGTGCAGTGCAGTGTAATATAGGTAACGATATCTCACGTTCAGGATTATCTCTTGTTGATAAAGTTGAGTTTAAGAACAGGCAACTTATTTCTGTCATCGAATTAAACGTGGACAAGCGTTCAGTGAAATACATACGCAAACAGTTAAGCCCTACAGCACATTGTTCATCAAAAATGTGGAGAACCAGTAAAAACATAATTATTAGGAAACTTAAACACACAATTTGACTGCAACTCGTGTTTAAAAGGAAGGAACGTTTGCATAGAGCTCTGAAAAATTGGTTAAAAACAGACGTTAGCACCTCATGTTTACAATGCCTGGGAGATCCACAAGATTTTGGCCGTGAAGCTCACGTTTTAACAGACTAAATGTCGAAATCCCACACAAACTGATGTTTTGAATGACTATCCGGAGTACGTTTCCGTTATCACTACAATAAGAATCAACAACAATAGAACTGTTGCTGATCTCACAAGAGACGACTTGAATAGCAGCGCTCGTTATACATGATTGCACATTTCATTCCTACTTCGTCCTGTCCAAAACATTCTTTCTGACGTACAGCTAAAAATACAAACAATTTGGTGAGTAGAGAATGTGTGCCTTCTATGGGAGGCGTACAAGGCAAATAAATTTAACTCAGTAAGCCTAGTTAGAGGCAGAAAGTTCACGTCATGAGCAAGCCGAGTTTTCTTTTCTAAATTTCATCAGCTCTATCTACCCAAGTAAGGTGTTCGTCCTCCATAAACCGAAGTGGAATAAATCTTTGGAGATGTTTGGAGTAGGCTGCTTGTTTGTAAGTAAACTGGGGCACACACGTGAATTCATATTCAGCAAAACCATTTACTTGAAAAAAAATCTGACAGGTGCTTTAGTTCAACTTGGAAAAGACTTTTGAAATATGACAATAACTCTATCATGGAAGAGACTTTTGAGAAGACAGCCTGTGACGCTTCTGATTTTCCAGTTTGACTTCCTTTGTATGGAGTACGTTTCCAAATGAGGACGCTCAACCATCAATGAACAGGTGCGAGTTGGGCTTGTCAGGAAGGTTTGGCCATCGAAAATTCTCCGATGTAGCCTGAATCGATCGGAGTAAAGCTTTTGTTTTACCGACCAGATACCCGATAACTCCAGGATTTTTATAGAACGAATAGAATAACAGTGTTTTGCAAACTGTTATCGGACGGCCCGCACTCAAGTGCCAGCGGCAGTAAATTTCATTTAGAGTCGTTTTGCTGATGACGATACCCTATACCATGGAGATAATTGTGAATCCATAAAATCAGCGACGCCGTGTTAGCGAAATAGTGGTGTCAATCAAAATGCAAACGAAGATTTTACGTGCTTTGGTACATTCTTTTTAAAAAACGGAACCAGGGTTTTCGAACAATTATTGCTGGACACCGACTAGCAGACTTTGCGTCGGATACCCAAAAGCAACACCTAGTGAGTGCCAAGTAAGCGTTCTGACAAAATAAATAGCGAGGATATTCTGACGTTTCTTGCGTTAGGTGTCCTTACTCTTCCGTGAAACTGAATTGCAGTGAATGATTGTGAGTCTCATAACAAGACCACTTTTGGTACACAGCGCGGGCCAATGCCTCCTGATAATGGCGGACGATTTTGCGTAATTGTTTTGACAAAATATGGGTCGCATGGACCTGGATCAGTAAAAATGAAGTGTCCAACTGATGGCAAACACTTTCATAAATAACGAGGCATTTTGAATTAATCAGGGTGAGGGATCAGATTCTATTAAAAAATTATCCGTACCTATAAATATCAGTTTATTGTGCTCTCAGGCACTCTGATGGGACGTTGAGAATATCGATGAACAGTGCTCTAAGAAGATGGGCCAACGAAAATACAAAGATATCTGCCACTGTTTTTGTTGAGCTGGGTAATTTTTGCGGCAAATGTAGTTGCGAAGAGAACAACAGTTGTGTAACAATCTCGGCTGCCAAAGTCCTCTTTCATAGCTGACACAGATGTGCACAATTCCGGAAGAAAGCCTTAGGTGACTTAAAACGGTGAATTAGTCAGACTAATAGGATTAACTTCTGGAGGTAACACAGCAAATTAAGGTAGCAAACACAAAGATAAGCATATCTTCATATGAGACTAATCTTTCAGTAGTTAGCCAAGAATTCTACTTAGGAATCAAGGTCGAGCCCAATCATTAGCTTTCTACATTGGATGATGAATCCGCTATCAAAAACCCAAAGGTATGAATCTTAACAGTAAAATTACGATACAACTTTCAACAAATGAGAAATGATACTATCTGATTTACTCATCAAGTGGTTTGGGGTAGCCAACATAACAGGTGTGTCAACAAATGTTATCTAATAATGGTCGCTGCGTCAAAGGGTATTGTCCACAAAATGCTTGCACAGCCTTAGTATCTCCATCATCCTTCTTTGAGTCAAATGGAGAGGCATGATGAACTCAATTATTGGACACTATGTTCGCATATCAGCACTGCGCAATGGAATAGATGGCTAGAATAGGCCTTCCGGACTGGTAGGATGATAGGACGTAAAAATTCATTGTGAAATTAGGGGACTGGATTCAGTAATGAATATCACGTTGTTTGGAATATTCTTGAGGGAGAACTCATGGCGGAAAAGCGTTGTGGGAAAACACACAAAACACGAGTACGTTTACACAGATGGATTAATAGGAAAAAACCACACTTCAAAGTTCGGAAACGAGGTTTTTATTGAATAGATGACGAACAGACAATTTTTGATTCTCGCGAAGGAACTGGCCAACGCTTTCAATGCTATAATCCGGAGGAATCTTTATTGTCCTTATATGCCTTTAAAAATTTCTAACCAAAGGATTTCAGAACTTACGCGGTAACCGAGCATAAGCTTGACGTCCAGAGGTTTCCAGAAACACTTAACCTGGATACTTGCCGTATCACTGACACAATGGAATTGAGCTTCCAGCGCCAAATTACTTTCCTCTCCGTTCAATTTGGATTCAACGTACATGTAAGTTAAGGATAGTCCTTCCTTTTTTGTTTTCCATGGGCAGCCGAAACCAGTATAAACGAGGATTGTTTCTAATTTGTCTCCATCACCAAGAAAGCTCCGAGGTATCACCTTCAATTCAATATATGTTCTTGCCGGCAAAGGTGGTAAAAGTGCTCGCAGTATTCTTTGACCCTTTGCAGCCTTTACCAGGGAAACGTGCCTCACAGAATCCTTGGACGGCCAGAATTGATAGACAATTTGATAAAACAAGGGTTTCCCGTTCCACGATTCATCAGAAATTGCCTGAACGGAACAATTGAAATTAAATGGTGAAAGTGGTTTAGGTTATGATTCTGTCGTATTTTTGAGGTGGTCAACAGTGAAATAATTGCTGTTATCTGGCGGTGAGCACTTCAGGATAAACTTCAGGATCCTGGAGCTTATCGAACGTGGTCTCACAGAGGGCATGGGATGTAAGCCGAACCACCGCACATTACAAAGTTATACGGCAAAAATATCCATCTAGTTTATCCTGGTGGTAGTGCGACTTGCTGTCACTTACCAGCCATGTGACTTGCACTGCCTGGCATGGTGACTGATGTTTGTCCTCCGGAACTTCCAACACTCCGTAGTGTCTCAGCAAAGTTGTGCGGTTCGTCCAAACCAGCATAACAGAAGAAATTTTAGGAACTTCACAGGGGCGGTTAATCGATGTTTTCATGACCACTGAGGGCTCACTATATGGACTTCGTCCTACGTCCGTACATACTGCAATCCGAAATATATAGACGGTGTTTGGTTGAAGCCTAAAAAGAAGTACGCACTGGTATAACAGGCAAAATATATGGATGTGGGAATCAATAAACCGTTCTTAAAAGGCCCGATGGAGAAAGAATAAAAAATATACCATTGACGAAAGCCCAATTTGCTACGTAACTGTCCTCGCAAGTTACAAACATCGGACTGGCAGACGATTGGGGATATCTTAGACGGTGCAGTTTATCCCAAACAATGAATGTACTTCACAACGCTCGAAAATGAAAGAAGCCTGACACAAGCGTTTCTGTTGGCAACGGAGGATCTTTTACAGTTTACCACAATCGAGGTAAATCTCTAAACTGTGTTTGGAACATGTGTTTGGCAGATGATACTGGAGGTATTTCGGTACAACCATTCGGCAAACCTGGCTAAAATAACTGTTCTTTGTTTGTATTTTTGTATGCCTAGGTGGTGTGATACTGTGTTCTCCACAATCGTACGAAAGTTGACTAGCTGGCTATTTTCACTTTACGAATGACGTTAGTACGCCTTAAATTATTTTCATCCCAGTATCGACAGCCTCAGCAGCTTTCAGAAGGTGAAACTAACATATTCATGGGATAATGATGCCAGTTAATCAGTCGAACGTTCCTCAATTTTTAAACGCAGTTTTTAAAGAGTATCATTTGCAAAATGAATTTCTCCATCCACCTGGCCTCTACTACTATACTGAAGCTTTTGGCCAAAATTGAAGTTCTAAGCTCAGGAAGCACCTAACATTGATGAGCAGAGTTGACCTGACAGCTGACTGAACACTCGCATTTTACTATAGGAATACCGACACTCGCCTTTTACTATAGGAATCCCGACACTCGCATTTTACTTTAGGAATCCCGACACTCGCAGAGAATAACGAAACAAGAAATGCGTGCAAATGATTCGATCCGTCATTTCTCCGAGTCCTCTCCCAATAAGAATGGCACTAGTAAAATATTATTTACGGAACCTTGATTACCAATAACCGAAGGAAGAATACTGAACCATACTGGTGAGTAATGAAAACACAAGTGAGCAACTCTGAAGGCCACTGGGCGCAGTTTCGCTGACTCCACGATGCCAACGCTAAAGTAAGTGGACATTTGAAAAACCTCTTGAATATTTTTGCAAAAAAACACTTGCCCGAACACATGGAATTTTTCTTCATCTCCTGGTTGCGGGGCTGGTTCGTATTCTTTCCATCCAAGGGCCGACCCGTTGGATACTGTATATTCGGGGGCATCTTCGACATAATCTGGAAGCCGAGCATACTGGAGGCTGTAGTTTTTCACTGGCGGTGTGTATATGGGACCGAATTTGGCGGCCTTTGTCAGGTTTGAAATAATGCTTGATGGATAAGCTGGCCATGCAAGCACAATTATAGATGAATTACAGTCCATTCTGGGTGCATGACTTATTATCTCATTGTCGGCCAAATTACTACGTAGCCATCGCCTTGGAGGATAAGGTTTACGACTTGGAGGAATAAGCCAGTCTTCTTGAATGATGTATGCCTGTGAAGATTGAGGAAAAAATTCGTAAGCTTGCAATACTACTCAGAAGATGGGATGGGACGGGCAGTGACCTTATGGGAAACAGATTTAACAAATTTCCTAATACTTTAGGCCTTGTATCCAATATTCTGCTGCGTTAAGTCTATAAGTACATTGATCTTTGTTCATTTCTGATCAGTCTTGCTCTGCTAAAGAAATAGAAGAATTTTTTCAGCCACCTTGGAAAGACGTATGTCTGTGGGCCGCGAAGGACGAAAACAAGTTCGTGCACAGATGAGGGATTCCCGCAACGATCACTCTTGTATCTAATATACAAGAGGTTTCTGTTTACGCTGTTCAAATTAACGGACAGGGCCGTGGATACTGAAAAGCGCGGATGACCATAGAGTGTGGCTGAACAGCATTTATCGATCCAGATATAGCACCGTAAATTATCTGGTTTATTCTTAGCCTAAATATGTTCAAGTACAACATCGGCGGACGGATTACTCAGTTGAAAGGTTCCTTAATTTGTTTACTGTATGAGCATATTGGTTTATCGAAAGCGTCATGGAGGTTAAAAAAAGTCGCTGAGAAATGCAGTGTAACGTACGAGACATTTTGCCTTGAATACCACATATCAACTTATAGGCTGTTCCTCATCAGAATTAACTTACGTCACTGTCATTTGAGCAGTCATCATTTTACCCTGGTGTAGTTATTTTGGTAAGGTGCCTGCAAAGAAGGGAACCGCGATACTTGGTTCTCTTTCTTGTAATGGTTGGAACCTTATGTTCTTAGTGAGGCCAGCATTTCCACCCCGGGACCATGTTACTACTAACCTACCGCCGAAATCTGAAGTCATAATAGGCACTCGTATTTGCAAATCGGTTATGGGATGGGCTTGTTAAGCACATTAAACGACAGTTGTTAGTATATTAGTGGTAGCACGCTCTATCTTCCCCTTGAATATGTGAAATCCGAATCCTGATGCTGCCAAGAAGTTACAATCCTGATAAACTCCAATAAAAGCGAAACCGGCGCCCACCGATTCTTTCATCCACAGCGTTTTCATCAGACTAGCTTCTGAAGGACGGAAAGAGGAGTGTTCAAACTAAGTTGATGTAAATGCGAATGCTACAACTCCGGCAAGCTCCTGCTGCCAATATCATTGAACTCATGTAAGATCATCATATTAAGTTTGTAAACTCAGCTGACGCCAGAAGTATAAGTAGGCTTTCCACGAACATCTGACAATCAGTCTGCACGTTGTACCACAGGGACGTCAAAATAGTTCAGTAGCCCTAGACTCCTCAGTGAATTATTGACAAATGCAGCTCTAGAAAGAATGTTTATGATCATTGGTTGGCGCGTAGCAAACCGTCACGATTGCGAATAATGATGGCTTACAAAAAATAGCAAGCATTGTGCGACGGCAGATAATCAAAACTGTAGAAAGTTTACAGAAGATTCACTTGAATATTTATCTGACGGCTGCTTTCTGGCGCAATGCCTGGAAATGTTGATCTCAGTGGGCTACTTTCACGAAATAATATTTTTAAATTTACCTTCGGTAACGGATTATGTCCTAAGAGCTTACTGATGCTTGGATACAGTTTGGAATGGTGTTCCGCGTGGAGCATACAGATATTAGGAAACGCTTATTTCCAAGAATATTCTTCCAGCAACAAATGCTTGCATCAAACAGAAACCCTTGTTGGACGAGAAACGTCATTCCAAAATTGGGAGATCTCTCGTTACTTCTGTACTTGCACTTGATGCTGGCAAACCAACTTTTGATATGAAAAGGAGAAGTAAATGCATCCACCCGTAGGCGATGAAGCTGTGACTGAGCATTGGAGTTAGGTGCTGGGTTGTCAGCTTTCTTTAGCTTTCTTTGAGTCTCTGATAGATCACTCACTATGATGCTGACCAAATGGCTACCGTGACTTATGTGAAAGGAACGTAGCTTAATTAGGACCTAAATGAACAAATAAAAGGTATGACAATCTCCGCAGAGCGCAGAAATGGGATTATTGAGATCTGCGGGTGCAGTCTCAAAAAAACCCGGGGAACCTGCGGTCCGAAGTCCCACAAGGGAGGTACTTCAAACATACCTCAGAGCATCAGCGTCAAAGTGCTAAGCTAGATTTCGCAAATATGCCGAAAACCATATGTTGGCTATGAGGATGTCTACTGCATGAAGCTAATTCCGAGTGATTAATTTCGCTTGCATTTCGTTCCTGTGGAGTGACGAAACCGTCGTCGAACCCATCCCGTAGAAACTGTTATTCCATCATTCATGGTTCGCTCAAACCTGGGGAAATTCGATCCCGTACGGTCTTTCTACGGGCTACTTTGTATACATGTACTCTGTACATGTACCTTTATGCATAACCAAAGAAATGATTGCGGTTGTCATGTTCTACAAACAAATGGTTCAAAGTGGGTTGAAAAAATCACCAGTATACATTACCTTGGCGGCACATCAAGTCTGACTGGACACATCGGCCATGTTAAATTTATCAGCTCCAAGTCCAGGATCAGTTGATAAAATACAACAGCACTGTCGCTCTTCCAGAACATCATCACTAGATGAGACATATTGGCGTCCGCATATTCACTTCAGACATTGATTTCATGTCTGATTAATTGGATTGGGAATCAAATTCACAGCAAGAAGACATCGTTTCTGAATATTGCTGGGTTTGATGTTCATTAGGGTAGTAAGAGGGAGCATGCACTCTCAAACGTCTAGTGATTGTACGCGAAATACCGACAAACATTTGGCTCCATTTACTTAGCGCACATAGGTGATTACATCTAATCCAGTCCAAGTCTTTGGAAGCTGAGTCACTAAGCGCGTCAGAATGCGAACTGACGTTTTTTATTTCACGTTTTAAATGTGTGAAATTGTCATTTCTATATTCACTGAGTACATACCATCGTACACTAGTGACCTACTACAAAACGATCGTGGGTCACTGGTATACGAAAGCAGTGAAGTTATTACTAAGTGTTCCACAACCTGGTGGGTAGTTTCCTTAACGAAAAAGAATGCATTTATATTCCACTTCACTTTGCATTATTGTTTGTTTAAGAGATATTCTTCCTTTTTATGGCTCTTTCGGTTGGATTTTAGTGGTTGCAGGTCGTGCAGCCTATTGGCGGACAGACGTTGACCCGTATTTTTCACTGCAACGTGAAGACAACCCAATCAAAATTTGGTTTGTGTATCACATATTCTTCTGGATGTAACACTTTTTCATCAGTCTAAATCTTCATTTGGAAATAAAATGCAATATTTTTGAAGGCCTTGAAGGGGTTTTACGCGCATCTTAGGAGTATTTTGTAAGCACGTTAAAGGTTGGTCAGTGTTTCACGATAAGTATAATTTTAGCTTTGAAACTCTTCTGTCATCTTGATGTTGGTTTAAGTCAACGATGCCTAACATGAGTTAGCACACTTTCATGTGTTTTGTGTAAGACGGATACGAAATTACCGTTACATGGTCTTCTGTTATATCCATGCTCGTTGATGAACTGGGTTCCTGTCTCAGCTTGAATCTGTACATTGCACCCACATTAAGCTTGTCGATTACTACCAACACTTCTTTGTGTTTCATGTGCTCGTTTTTGATTGGTGGTGAGTGAAGAACACGAGAAGCAGTGGCCCCAAGACGTAGTTGGGTGATTGGATCGACTTCAAACCAAGTTATGGTTGCTTTTACATCCAGTCCTTTCGGTACTTGGTTGCTGATGAGCCAGCTAACTAAAACTCGTCCGTGTGATTCACTCTTTTCCTGAGTGATCAGTATCCGTTTCAGGTGTAGTCGACCACCTGAAAAAATGAAAAGCTTGATAGTTGAAAGCCGAACAAAATTACGTTTTGAACTATTGCTTTAGATAGGAAGAGTACACTTACCCGTTTTTTCCTTGCTCGGCAGGAAAGGGACGACAACTGGATCGCTGAATGGTCCAAATCCAATGCGGTTTTTCGCCCGAATTCGCAAGATATGTATAATTTCAGATTTCGAGAAATGCATTGAAGTCAGTCGTCGCCATAACCCCACCATAAGGGTTTCCTTCAAAAGTGATATTCCTCTCATCCTAGGAAACTCCGTGAAGATAATTTGGTTGAGTTGACTCGCTGAAAGCTCTCTCTTCAACGTATTGATCCACTTCACGGAGTGAACCGGTGCAGTGACAGTCCAATTCAATGCAGAACGTATCTCAAGCTGGGAAGTCAGAGAAAACTTAGCCTGATTTTGCGCTAGAACTCGATCTTGTTGTGTTTACATGCTGAGGATTGTAACATCATTTTTCTGCCTGGCAGTCGACTGAAGGTGCACCCGGCGCACACCCAGCCATACCATATTTGACAATAATGAAAGGTACTCAGCTAAAATTGCGGAATGGCCTGCCTTATAGTTTGATTATTGGTCTTCTTCCTCAACTACGTTTTTTAAGCGATGTTCATAAAATGGATAAAATGTCTTTTATCGGGTTGTGTCACTGAACATCCTGTACGAATAAGACTAAATTAGACAAGTTTCATGTTGTGCATTTATTTAAAACCAATTTGCCGTATAGTGACTGAAAAATCCGTTACCAGCATTTTCCCCAAACCAGCGTCCAATATATCGAATAATTGTTGGATGATGCCAGACATATCTGACCTTTACATGAAACAATGTAACTGGGGTATTCAAATGGTTTTGTAAGATGTAAATTCAGTCCAAAATATCCCGCTTACATCTCATTTAAACTTCACGTCACCTGGCTTCTTCGGATTTATTTTTTTGAACGAGAGAAGGATAAGAACACCAGCCTTTTCAGAGTACACTCTTTATGAAAAAGTGTCGGCATTTCAGTTGGTCGTGTTGTGGAACCTCTCGCTCAGCTCAACAGCAATTCAGCAAGAGTCATATCACACACTGATAAGACTTCATTGAAGCATTCTTATGCTACTGATTCACACTTTGTTTGTCTGGCGCCTCTGTACAACTTTTGTGGCTCGTAGCACCACACCCCGACCTAGAAGGGTATTGTTATTGGATTTTTCCTTCTTTGAAATAGGTTGCACATCAAAGTTCCGAGAGGCCTTTCAAGTTCTCTTAGAAAAGAAGGATTAACGCAATACTTCCAACGCGGAAGTCGTCGGGAAAAAACCTCCGAAGGGACTTCATGCGCTCACATTTACTTCCAGTGAAGTCAGTCACTGACGAATTGTACGTATAGATGCATATTCAGATGCACAAATATCTGCATCAGCTGGAATGTCAAATGAGACTTGAGAATCCTTCGATTCTGCTAAACCAACTCGTGACATGTGGCAAATTTACATACGTCCAGAGCTTTGCGTTAATCAGTTCCCTCCATAGCCAGCTCTTTGGTGTGGAAAACCAAATCTGTTAGATTAGATGGCAGTTCATGTGCTCGCCGAGCTTGGCAGCTGGCTTGCAAATGTCTCGTCCCCAGTCGAGAAGGCGTCGTCAGTGAGTATTTAAGTGCTCACCGTGTACCTCTGAACCGATCACGACAGGTACGATCCAGACTACTGTTGACCACAGAGGCGATTGGAATCCAACTGCTGGATCCACAACTTTGCGTCCAAAATAAACCTGTGCGAATCTGAACTTGAATTGGCCTACGAAATGTCCGGTCCCACACATTGACCTCACTTACCTGATTCCGTGACATTGACATATCACTCATTCAACCGCCCTTCCTTTGATTTCGATTTCTGTGTACGTACCCCCGATCTTAACCTCTTACACGTGATTTCTGAGACCATATAAATTTGTGCTGTGTAAGCCAAGGGAAACAATCACGGATATATTCATCCCTCTACGCAGTGGTTTGCGTGCCAAATAATCGAGAGGAGATATGGATATTCCGAGGTCAACAGACGCTCATATGATCGTCCACATTATGAACGAAATGAAAAAAAATGATTCAAGTGGCAACAATGTAAAATAAAATGGATCTTTCAAATATTAACCCAAGGTTTATTTACAATTATACGAGTGAACTTTGAATTTACTTTGAATTTACCTCATAGCTGAGTGTTTCACCGTCGCACATGGCTTCAAAAGAATCGATCCACTCAATGCGAATTGTTTTACCTTCCTCTGTGACCGTTACATTTATAGGTCTAAAATTGGGCACGGCATTCCAAGTCTTCGTTACTGACTTTGATGCTGTAGTCGGAGGCATTAAATCGCCGGGTGACAAGAAGATTTTTGGGCCCAAAAGCAATGTCCATTCATTCTTTTGTTCCTTGACTATGCTTGCCAGTTTTGGCGATTTTGAAAACGGTTGAATAGTAACGTAGTAATTCGTTGCTGGTTGCAAGTGTCCAATAACCAAGTCATGCTGAGTTGGATCATAGATTACTTTCATGAATTTACGGACACCGCATTTGTCATGTTCCACCATGTCGTGTCTGGGTGGGAGGTCTTGGTCTTGGTCTAGCTCGTGAAACATGGTGCTGTTGTAAATGCTGATAGCGACATCGCTACGTTCCGCGGTGACGATGTATCCTCCAGGAACTCCATTCCACTGAGAAGGCGATAATGGCTAGAAAAAGGCAGTCATTCCGGAATTTAAACATGAAAAATGCAGGAGAAATTTATGCAGCTAAGGCTTTTTCATCAGTCGAAGAAATATTTTTTTCTCCAACAACTGATGCTGATGTAGGGTAACAATATTTAGAACACAATTGCTCGAAAGCTGTTTGCTCATATGCAGCGTGGGGTCAACACGGGGGTACCAAACTGGGGACCATAAACAAAGAGAAGACCACTGAACTACTGCTTTTTACTGATGGATTTGTATTACCAGAAGGCACTGAAGAACGATATTGTGTGGTATACTAGAAGCTGCCGCCCCAAAATAAAATCGTTCTAAAAATGATCGCCAATTTCATGTCTGCTGGGGATACTGACAGCGGACTAAATAATGATTCTTTCAAAATTACTGGCTGATCCGATGAATTTCACATTACATCCTATGAACTTTTATATTATATACATAATACATCGGGTATTATATAGAAATATATGGAAATATTCTCAATGCTCGACTTTGGTAATATTGAGGAAGAATATACTCACTGGCAGGAGGCAGAACTGATTTGGTTGACGAAAAGGCACTTGCTAACGTTTGTACGTATAATTCATTGCTTTAAGTTTTATCAATTTTCTCTGCTAGGTTTGAGATTAGGGTCGACTTCAGTAGTTTTTGATTCCCTTAGAAGCAGCACAATGCTGGCGGGCAAAATGGTTGAATAAATTGCACATTGGTGACCTTTATATCTGCCGTCAAAACAGCTCCACAGCCTTGATTCGGAACATGTCTTCATTCGCTCAGATAGCGAAAAGCAAAAGTACTAAGCAAAGAAAATCCATTTTTTCGCTTGAAAACGCAACCAAACGTGACAGCTGAATTGGTTGGAAGTTGACGCATCAGCGCATTGCTGCAGGATTTCCACTATCTGTGCAATGAACAAATTTTACCAAAAATATATTATTTTCCGCTTTTGAGAAATTTTGCGGTTAACTGCAGTCTTTGTTGCAAGGTCGCTCAATATCGCTGTTAATCCTCAACGAGCATAAAGCAGCTGTACAAAGCTTTTTGGTCCTTTATAATTTAAGCATTATTTACAGGATTATAATGAATTTTCAAAATATATATGCAGGTCTGATGACAATGAACATCACCGTGTGAGGCGTAATTAATTATGGCGCCTAGAGGTTAAAATAACTGAGTGAAAACCTAGTGCAAATTACCAGAAACTCGAACAGTCATCTGACCAGATCTGTTAGCAATCGGCTTTTAGCGTAAATTATGATGTCTCCAAACAATTGCCATCATCGAAAGCAATTTTTGACGATTCTGACTTTGTGTGAGTTGACATACTTTTTGGGAAAGTAGACACCACGCAGTGAGTAAATGAATGGCTTATGTTATTTTGTCTTGCTGGAAATATGTTAGTTTCTGCAGGTTAGCTTTGTTCTTAATTGCTTTTAAAATCCCTCTCACCTGCCATGTTGCTTTCAAACGATGAGCATCAATCACGGTGAGATATGCAATTCGTGGGGCGACTTCAGGGGCAAGCAATTGACTCGGGATCCAATCCGTTGGTTGTGAATGTTTTACAAAGTCGTATTTTGTCACATTTGAAGCAGAATCAAAAAGAACGTATAATGGTGGCCAGACACGAAAACGATACATCGCAAAGGCCGTTAGCTGGCTCGCTGAACTCAATAGCTGGACGTTTAATCTCTTCAAATCTCCGAATGGGTGCACATCAGTTGGAGCAGACAACCGCTTCACATAAGCTTTGGAATTCTAAAACGGTAAATGCACTAAATGTCAAACTTACGAGAAAAGTGAACCAGTTATAATAAGTGCATACGGAATCTAATGAAGTGAAAAATGAACACCCTCCCAAAATAGAGCATGTGTTTGCCTTGTGAACCCTATGGGGCGATGTTACATGCTGAAACACACTGACAGAAAAAAAACGGCTTTTTGTATAACTGGAGTTGCAAAAATTTCAAACGTAATGACCATTTGTTTAAAAACTGCACATGCTTAAGATGCATGGCCTAATTGGCTTACAAGTCCCACCATTTAACAGCTGAAATAACTTTCATGATAATGCATCACTTTTTGATATGACCGCTTATAAAGACGATGCAAACAGCTGAGCAGCTCAGTAAAAACTTCTCTTTTTCGGACTTCCAGTTGGGTGTATTTATCAAGCTTTCATAAGTCGCATTCCATAGTCGAATTCTAAAATAAACCTGTATGCAGCGAAATAGTTCACAAAGAATCAATCCGATCTTTACAGGAGAATTAAATGAACCTCACCTGTGTCTCTGGATTTTATTGCTCCTTAAGTGAAGACGTGAAATACGCACCATGTCAGGTCTTCATTAGACAGCTATTCAAGATAACATAACTAGTATGATTCGGCGCTACTCAGAAATCTGAAGAAAACGTTTGGACTAGGCACGGGAAATGAGATAGCTGGCAGTAGGTTAACCAGGCTCATATCTAGTTCAATAAGTAAAATAATCCTTGCTAAATAAAGACGCGCGATTAAACGCTTGCAAATAAAGTTCCGCCTACACAAATGGCAATGCCGTTTTCAATTCATGTGACAATCTTTCCAAATCATCCAAATCAAACGTCAGCTTCATCATGGAGCATTTCTTTGATAACAGTAAACAAAAGAATATACACGATTGTAGGGGGTTTGTCATTTCTTTTGGAGAGATCATTTTGTTTGAATTCGACTGGAAGAGCTGATAGATTTTCCAGCTAGGAAACTTAGCTTTTTTCAGAAAACCGGCCGCACTGTGGTTTATCAAGGTAATACGTCACATCTTATTTAGACGCCTAATTTACTTGTTGAACGTATTGTGGACAAATGATCAACCAGATGTTAGAAGCTGGTCAGACGGGGCAACATAAATATACCTTCTAGAATGACAGCGCCATTATTTCGTTTATTTTTCGTTTAGTTTGATATGAAGTACTCAGATATAGTCAATGAATATTGTTTGCTAACCACCTACCAAGGTGCTTTAATAAACCATTGGTTGAATATACCGCATCTGGATTTTTAATTCATCGAAGAATAATTTTCATGACCGGTATAAATTAGCCCCACAACTTACCCACTTCCAGTCTTCCCAGTCTTCGCGGATTTCATCGAAATTCACACCCAGGAGCGACCATGACTGGAATTGAACAGGCCACGGGAAAGATTCCAATGCCTCAAAAGCGTGCTTCAAACTTTCAGTAGTTGTTTCCTCCTGTCTGCCTCGTCTGTTCAGCTCCAGCGTTATGTTGATAGATATTTGGTTGTCCTGCATAAGCAAACATAACTTGAAAAATTTTCAACCACGAAAGCGTATTCCATGGAGCTATACGCACGCAGTTTTCAAACTTTAGATAATTTTTAAAAGAAATACTCTGGAATGGATAATGAATCATCATTAGCTGAATAATCACCCTAATTCCAAAAAATGGACATAATTTAAACAACCATACCGCCTCGCGTTAAGTTGGTGAGCTTAAGAAAGCGTCATATTCAATATAGTGTATGGAACCTGTTCAAATTGAATAATCAAGTGGACATTTTCACCGATGGTAGAAACAAAAAATCATTAGAAACAACCCAGAATTTCGTGACATACGCATGGCAATTTATAATATGATCAGCATTTTGACTGCCTGAGGTCATCGGATAGGACTTTGTGATGAGTATCTATACTATGGATTGTAAGTGATAGTTGCGTCTGCCGCGTTTTTTCGGGATCTAACTACTTGATTATCGAAATATTTAGAAACGGCTTACTTTGAAAATGTCGGATGTGGAACTCTGGAGTCTTTTTGACTGCATTTAGCAAGGTATCTTTCAAAAGATTACGTTGGTCTAATTTCTGCTGTTTTTACATGACAATTTAGATAAAAAGTCTCATTGTACAAGGGTCTTTTACTCACGCGTGATTAGGACAGTGAAGCAAAACAGCTTTCAAAGGCGGCTGATGACTTTAGATAGTACGACGAGCCTAAAAAATTTCGGATCGAGGTAAACGAATTTAAGGTACGAAGTCTAAGGAATTGAAAAAAATGCGCTAAAATATAGTACTTTTAGTAACCCACGTTTTTGGATTTTGTTTGAAACCGATCTGAACTTTTGGCTCTTCGCCAAGTTGTAGGCTGTTGCAATGAAGCACCGTTTGCTTGGTCTGCATCTATTAGCTTTCGTAAAATCTTCGCAAGCGTTATCCTTCGTTTAACATGAGCCAATACTGCGCTACGTTGTGTGAAAAAACTGTGTGTGTTTAACAGGTAGTGAGCGGGGCCTTTATCTTAATCTGTATCATCGAATCGATCTACTCCCTAAATTCAGTTTGGCCATTTGGCAACACGAAATACCCCGAATTTCATGAAGCTATTATCATTTTGTCTGAGCAGTTATGTTTTATTTGATGAAAAACTTAGGCTCCAGACCCTAACCACGCTAACGAAGTAGAGTGACACTTAAATCTTAAATCGCATCTTAACAAGTTTAGTGAACAAATTAATTCGTTCATCAGCACAAGCACAGGAACATTGCTCAGTTTTAACGAAATTCACTCGGGGAAATTAAGCTAAATTTCCCATTTATTACATTCATCTTCAGCTGAAAGCGCTGCACCAGGTCAGCTCATGCTTAATCTGGTAGGAAAGGCCAGTCTCATAAAACATTGTATGGACTGAACCCACTACTCATGAAGTTGCTAAAAGTCTTCGATAGCTCTCTACCGGTTTCGCCCTTCTTGGAACTAACCAGACTGGCTCCATCTCCTAGGTTGCTAAAACACCTGAGAGAAACGATCGTTAGGCAACGGGTGATGCAAAGGTAAACACTGGGGTACGGTTGTGCTACCGGTGAATTTTTCATAAAAGATCACTCGCTTATTAAAAACACAGATCGGTCTGCTGGATATACAATTGTTTTTTGGGTAAGAGGATACTTTCCGGTAATCCAGTTGCTGGAATTCTTAAATGTCTAGATTCAGTTCTCACTTTTTCGATCACTTCAGGAATATGGCTTCCACGCTGCACGAAATGTCCTGGTCTCTTTCAGCACTCACAATCACCGAAAACATTGTACTATCATGCAGCGCCATAAAGTGATTGAGCGGTACATAATATGATGGGCTGTTGTGGAATAGGAATCTATGATGGTACGCTTTTCGATTTCGTCATTTGGTGGTCAGCGATTCCCAGCGCAGCATGACGCTTCGAATTCTTTTTAAGATAGATCAACAACTTACCTATCAGGAATAAATCGATACTTCATACACGACCTTACAGCAGAGTTTTTCTTTTCGTGGTGACCTGTTTACTAATTTTGGCAGCTTTGCTGGCAATAGCTCTCGTATTTTACTCAGCACCTCAAGGATGGTAACCTAGATTACATCCCAAAAACTGGCCTCGCCTCAAGAGCCCCGAGAAGGGCAAAACCAGTAGTGGGCTGCAACCTCAGCAACCTTAAGAGAAATGTGTTGGGTCTATTGTTTGGTTACTGTTTTTATTTGTCAGGTTATAAATAACTTTTATTGTAGTTTCAATGAACCAAGTCTTCTTCAGCCATGTGACTGACATTTCCGTCAGTTCATCTATCGATGCGTTGTTCATGTTGAGCCAGGTGAAAAATGTTTGGAGCGCGATATTTTAACAAACTTTTTATTTACATGGCACAGGCTTTCAAGTACATTGCTTTTGGAAAGGATCCAAAAATCACCTCCTATATGAATATTTCCCCCTTTTGAGTGCTCAGTTGGGCCTGGTCTTTGAGTTGATCCGTTCGACTCTAGGGTGATCACTGTTTTTTAAAGCTTATGGATGTTTTAACACTCCAGAAAATACTGGGAAAACATTTCTCAGTATATGTTTCCACATGTTATTTACGTAGGTGTAGAAATTTTTCAGTGAACGTATCAACAAATGATTAACAATGATTAGCAAAATGATAAAGAATGAATAATAGTGATAATTAACGAGTCCAAATTTAGTAATCAAGTGTTGGTTAATTATCCATTGCTATTTGATGCTTGTTAATAATACTGATTATTTCATCTCTCTTGACGGACGGGACCATCATGAAGGGTGTAGCTAAATTTGTCTAATATCTGTTGTTAATTTCCATGACGTGTTTTTTAATTGTATTCTTCATGCCCACTTAAAATCTAGAATTTTTTGGGCAGGAGTCCAGGTTTTTCTCTTTAAAGCGAACTACGATTAGGCCAGTCGAGTTTGCGCTCGTTTGCAAGAGTAAAATCATAGATGTGTTTCAAAATGCAAATATACGAAGCTGTTTTTCTTTCAATCCAGTGCATAGCAAAGATTCTCTGGCGTATTTTGGCTTCCGTAAAACGTTCTATGAAAGATATATTGAAAGATGAAATCATTTGTCATACAAATAAATTGTACAAATGAGTCCGAAATTTCGGTAACGGACATTGGAAGACCAACACGGCGTCCTAAAATGGAGTGGGATCGCTTGTACATTATCTGCTAATGAACATTTTCTTGTCTTTTTGTGTCAGTTCATACCACTGTAGCAAAGTTGCAGAGGATTAGAACGTAGATACATTAAACTTTACTGTCCGTGGCCTTCGTCAAGGAAACTGCATGATTCATATCAATTAGCGCATGAGGACCGAAAAAATGAACGCGCAAACTACGTTAGTTACGGCAAATGAGGAACTGTAAATGTCACGTCACCAGGCATGACTTTCAAAGGACATGGGGTACGGAGACATGGACAAACATCGCGCTTTTGAGCTTAAACATGGGCCTCTAATTCGCTTATTTTATAGACAACCGAACAATGAAGTAATCTGTTAGTAGAATGCCGATGAAATTTCTCGTACTCGTGCTTCGGAAAGATTCGTCAATTAAGCTAGCCATATCACCCAGTGCAAACACATATAATGTTCTGATAGGAGCGGTCTTTTCCCCTACAGTGTCAGTGTAAACCGCGGAGAAATCACTGTTTTTCTGTGAGATATTTGATATTTGGTAAGAGAGAATTGTTGCTTAGAAGATGGGCTAACGAGTACCCAATAATCCTGTGAAACGGAAACTTAGAGCTCATTTATTTGCGCACATCATCCTGTTATGTCCATCGACAATTTATGTGTTCTTGAATATTGTCTAATCTTGCACACAGCATTCATAAAATTATGATATTGCAAAAGTCAAACAAAACAGTGCCTGCGGCTGAGTCACGGTATTTCTCGTTTAACGAACCTTACGCAAATTGTCAATAGATTAAAGGTCCTACACGCTCAGTACTTTCTTTTTGTAGCGAATGTGGTGTAGTCTTGACGTTAGTTTACAGTATTGACAGACAATATAGAAAATGTTCTCAGGCCCGATTCAATAAGTTTGTATCACTGAACTTAGGTGTTACATTGCATTTTTCATTTTTAAAACGGAAAATATTTGTTAATGCGGCTGAAACAATATAGACTTCGCATCTATCTTAATTTTAATATAGAGTGATCAACTATGATGGTTTCGTTCTCTAACCAGACAAACTTATCAGAATGGTACTCATATTCGTGGTACCGTTGGAAAAAATATTGTTTTTACTTGTGAAAATCTTGCCTTGCTCGTCTGTACACTTGGTCTGCCAACAAAACGAAACGTCCATCCGTAGAGCAAAACTGCTTTTTCCATATATTCTGGATATTTCCTGTGTTCGTACAACCAGGTCTCTATGATGGAGTCTGTTGTTGCATTGAAATCTGTGAGTGAGGTGCAACCATATACAATAGAATTTGGACCGGATCCAGTAGAGGAAACAGCATGTACTGCTACAATGTACAATTCATCAGGAGGGAGATGATCGATCATAACTTGGTGTAGATGAAGTGCTGTTGGAACAGGCGGTGATGTATTCCTCGAATTGTATGGTATCTTTATTATCCCGTGTTTCAACTTTGGTCCAGTCAATGTGTGTGAAACGATTTGTTGCCAGAGAGGTTGCGTTTCACTGAGAAGTAATTCATCCGGTAAGATAGAACGTTCTGCTATCAGGCCCTTCTGTTGGAAATCTCCAGCCTTGGTAAGCTGAGTAATGATCCGAAGAAAAGGAAATAGTTATTCTGATTAGTTTATAATATTGCAGATACAGTAGAATGAGGATCGTAGAGGCTAGCTAATACATATAGGAGTCTGAAGCTTCTGAGAATTCGCGTTACCATGCGTCATCTGTTACTAAGGATATACTTTGTTACGGTCTTGCCAACAAATCGACCATGTTTCATGAATCCGACAAGGTTTGGACCTTCTTTAGGGCGGTTTTTTGGTTAACCATACTTAAAAATACGCATTTACAAGCAGTATTTGCACACGCTACTTACTTAGGGAAACTGATGGACATTAACCTTATCTTTTTGTGTGGATTTTTAAAGTTATATTGATGTTAGAATTACACCATATATATTACTTCAACCGCTTCTGAAAGTGCATACGACAGAGCTTTATATTTAAAAAGAAATATTGCCAAACTTCAGATTTTCGTATGTCAACAAATGCTGCATAAAATTAATGACAAAAATGAGCACAACGTCCGCTGTGGAAGCAGGTGAGCTCATCCAGATCGTTGCTACGAATTTATGTTGATGAGTAGTCGACGTCAAGTTAGGCTCACTTGATTATATTCCAGTATGAAATTGAGTATCCTCCCATATAAGGGAGCTGGATCCTGCCATTGCACCAACAGCGCAGTCTTGTTCACCGTTTGCATTCGAAGTCGGACAACTGGACCAGGTACTGAAATAAACAAGAATTTCGGGTGAATTCATAGTTTCTGCATCTGGATAGCCCGTTTCTCCTACACTATCATTCCAGTTTTTGCATGTGCGTTTTTTATTTGTGCTTTAGTTTGGTGACTTTTTCACACGTTTTCCGTCGTACTTCCGAGTCTTTCAAACTTGCCATTTCGCAAAAATTCATCAATCGCGATTCTAGGTAACTTTAAAAATAACCAATTCCTGTCTTTTCTGTTTTCATCAAATTCCGGTCGTTCCCATAAATGTGAACTGCTTTAAGGTTATGCCATAGTTGGTGAACCATTTCTGTCAAGCCAACTAACGTATTTCACGGAAACCTTTCTGTCTGATTTTACTCAGGGCAGGCAAAACATTCAACCGATATCCCTACATTGGGTGAAGTATCACCTACGCACACCACTGGGGATTCACAATTTCAGTACCTATTTGCTTGCGTCACATTAAACTATACACTCGGCGATTCAAAACGGAAAAGAGTAAAATATATGGATATTAGGTGGAATACTGACCGATGGTAATGTATCGTACTATTCAAGCTTTCCTGAAAACCACGCAGTGGTACACGGCTATATCCACTGTACAGACTACACAGTACATCCTAAATATTTATTACCGGTAGGCCATGAATTGACTGTTTGTAAAGCAGTATCTATTTGAGATGCAAAACACCGTGTGCACGTAGCTTTCAGGATAGATAGAAACAGTGTTGCCTTAGACACTCAGTCTCCTCAAAAACTATGACCTAGTGTCAGATTATTTTAGACATACTTGCCAACCCATAACTTCAGGATATTTTGTGTTTGCAATCTATATATCTTGGCTGTTCTGACAGAATCGATTAGTAGGTCTGTGTAACAAAAAATATTGCGGGACTTATTACACATGTTTACGCCGACATAATTTACTCATTTGCATACATCTCTAGGGGTGAATTACTAACAAGCATACAAAAATCCCTTTTTGGTCATCGCAAGGCTTCGGTAATGACTGGCACAGTTTGGGATTCTAGGAGAGAGCTGTCAGGACCTGTGGACATATCAGATCCCTTATCCGAGAATGTCAAGCCTTGTTGCTGTACACTGCAACCACCTGC